TTGGAGATATATTAGCCCAGGCAGGAGATGTATATGTTAAAATTGGTCTGATTAGGTATAGTAAACGTCTTAATTTTAATTGCATAGTGGAGTTGTAAAGTAAGCTTTGTAGTTTATTGCAAGCTGCTTGTACTTTGTAATATTCTGTACGTGATCATTCCAGCTGAATTTCCGACTGAAATCCATATTGGTTCATTATTTCTTTCTTTTAACAGGGCGAAATTAAAGTCTTGACTGAGCAGCCCCAGTTAAGCATTATATTAATCTGTTACGCAATCTTTACCTTTCCTATCCTTTTTTTTCTTCCTACTGTTCATTATAATAGGGGCATTGTTTTCCTTCATTTCAAATGTTTCTTTTACATTAAGTTAGTTTCATGAATTTGATGTTTGACTAGTTTGCTGTGAGTTTTTGTATTCTCATGTTTGTATCATATTCTCATGATTTTGTTTAAAATTTTTCTTCTGATTTGATATTATGCATTTTTTGTATTTCTTCCTGGAATTTGCAGAACCTTCGGGGAACTGAGAGAGCAATTTTTGACATTTGTCTGGCTCTCTCAATAGAAAAGGTTTTGTTTTCATGGCTTCCGTTACTGGTACCCCCTGAAGACGTCAGCCTCGGTAGCCGTATTTGTATTTTTATTTCCATCGTTTTCTTTTTTCTTTATTGCTTCAATTATTCTTTCTTATGAAAAATTCTGCTGCTTTGCGCGTTTCTTTTAAAGGAAGCTATGTTATTATAGATTCAAATATTTTGTTTTCTTTCTCCAAGGTATTTGGCTTTGTTGACAATTGGGATGGTTTCGTTGAGGAGTACTAAATTGGTTCTGAGATAGGATATTGAGGGCTCTCTTTTTATGTATTATTAGTAGTTGTGATTTCAGATCGTTGACCTGAAATTTCCAGGTTTGGCACTGTAACAAGCAAAGTCCAAACTGTCACCAGATGGCGCCGCAAGCGCAGCAGAAATATTAACTTTTTGTTTTTCAAACACTTAAAAAAGTAGATGTAATGTAACTCTAGAAGCGGCTTACCCCGCTAGTAACTTGCTTAACCCCTTCATCACTTTATAATTATCATGAATCATCCCATTTAATGTAAATTCATCATCTTTGTCATATTGTAATTAAAATCAATAAATGTTTTATGGATATTCAAACAGGCGGTCATAGAAGGTAAGTGGAACATTTTCCATTTCCTCGATTCATACAGAAAAAGCAAGAATTCATTTTAGATTGAACAGGCACCATTGTTTCATTTCGTAAATTTTATCCTACATTTTCTGCAAGGCTAAGTTAGGATCTTTAGATTTTACAATTATTCTACTATCACCTGCATTAAATGCTGTGATACTATTGTAATCATTTCTATCAACCAGGAAATCGGCTATTGTATATGTACATACAATACGGTTATTCAATATACGCCTTCGTGGCACTAAATATCGAAAAGTAGGCGTTATTTGTAGTTATGTAAGATTAGACTTGAATATTAATGACGGAAAATATATCAACCACTATAAATTATAAAATAAATTTATGCAATGTTTTATATAATTTAATTTATTATTGTGCTCCCCAATGCTCAAAAACAGTGCAAAATCTGATAAGCCAATGCAGATTCATTTCGCAAAACTCGAATTATATTCGGGGTTTGTGATGTGACGCATGGACTTTGACAATTTTTGGAGTCCCCCATTGTGTGGGATAAAATGCTAAAAAAATAAGAATTATTCTTCATCGGCCGCAATAATTTTTATGACAGCTCCAAATCTAGTGCGTTAATTTTAAAATTAATCTGTAGAATCATTAAATATTATTTTCCATGTTGTTGTCGTGTCAATGTTAGTGAAAAGTTTAATTAGAGTCCTCCAAAAGTCTTCATAACAAGGTTTGCAAGTTCTGGAGCCCGATGGTCGATGGGAGGTGCTCCAAGTTGAAAGAGGGAGCCGATAATGGCCTGGCAGTCAATAACATGGTCTGGAGTTAGTTGCAGATGAGGATCGTACTTGCAGATGGGATAGAATTTTATATGGGTGCGTGAGATCTTCATGCCCTTGAAATGTCCAGTACGTAGCCTAGCTATTGTAGAGGAGACGTTTCTTGGGCAGTTTAGATCGGGGATTATAAAATTTATTATTTTCCATAAATAATGTAATTAAAGGTGCTGTCTACAATAATTGCTGGTTTTGCAGCTAGGTGTCACCTTTTAGTTATTCACAGCATATCTTAACAAATAAGGAGCCTTTTTCACTGCATTGGCGGATATTTTAAAAATTAAGTTAATCTAAGGAAATAAACTTAATTTACAGTGTGGTAAATTTATTGTAGCTCGATTCGTGAGTAAGTTATTCGGGACAAGTCACTTTTACTTAATAATGGGAGAGCATTAAGCATTGTACACTACCTACATTTTTTCTGACTTTTATATATACAGTCGAACCTCGCTAACTCTAACCTCGATTTCACGAATTTTTCGATAAAAAATTCCCTTCAAATTTCCTATACACTCAGTGTTAAAAAAAACTTGATTTCACGAATTTTTTTTTTCTAATCCCTCGATAACTTGAATTTTTTTTTTCCACAAATAGTGTAGATTTTTCTTCTGAAAATAAAAAACCATTCCAAAAAAAATTAAAAAATTTAAGAATCGAAAACCAATTCTCATAATGATAAACTTTTTTTAAAAAATGGACATAAAGATGGCCAGTGACATGGAATGATGTGTCTTACTCTACGATAATGAATAGCTTCAAGAAGGCTGGACTCATTAAAGATCACGAAATAGTCAAACAATCAATATCGTTAATTCTGCTAAAAACTACACCGAAAATGATTGGGACAGATTAACCGGACTCATGAAACTTGATGACATGAAATTTCATGACATTGTAAACGTAGATGATGCAGTAACAGTGTGTGGTCAGTGGGATGACAATGATATCATCGCTCAAACAAACGCTTCTTGTGAAATATCAGAAGAAGAGGATAAGGAAATCGAAGATTTACCACCCAATGTTACTAACAAACAAGCACTTTCTGCAGTGGACACTGTAAGGAGATTCATTGAGAGGCAGCCAAATATGTCAGAGGAGACATTTAAAGCTATAGTCCACATAGAAAGTGTTACAGACAAACTTCCTTACGCATCTCTTAAGCAAACAACAATTGAATCTTTTTTTAAATAAAAGTGTAAAAGGTGTTTTTAGAATAAATATGGAATAGTAAATAAGGTATGTAAAGAGCATTTTTCTTTATTCCACGATCGATAACATACGATTTGCGATAATTCGAATTATCGGTATCTCGAATTTTTTCTCCTCTCCCTTCAAGTTCGAGACATCGAGGTTTGACTGTATATGTCTTCGACTCCTCCCATTAAAAAGTACAATAAATTACGGTTTATTTGTTTTTCCGTAAAATAAACATTTTAATACAAATTATATAATACGTTTTCCAAATTGCAAACCAAATAGACCTTTTGTTTCATTTTAATCCATGAAAAACATTTCTGTTTCGGTTGAGAAATACCATCAANATAATTAACTGGTTTTGTTTCATTTTCACCATCGGTTTCTTTTAAAGAAATTTAAAATTAGTAATGTTTGTGCAGTTTTGTGTAAAAGAAGAAATGCCTCCATGTTCACTTCGTAGTGATAGATAAATATAATATCAGTATAATTTTTTTTTTTAAGGTGTAAAAACATTTATTTAACAATTTATGTGATTTATTTTAATATTAATTTAATAGAAATTTTTAATCTCCTGTTCGCTACCTTTACAACTGCTGATCAAGCAGCACTGTGTGGTTCAAAAAAACTTTCTCATAAAGGAAATCAATGGGCACTCTGAATCATGATGGCCCAAACAATAATGAACAAATCGTAACTAGTAACTATGTTAGAATTATCGATTTAATATAGTATGATATATAACTGTAGTTGAGCCGACCTAATTTTCAGTTTACGACTATTATTGTTCAACTCCGTAGCCTTGTAATTATGAACCTAATCCAGTGGACAAGGGAGCTCCCGTATCAAATATAGGGAGACCACGAGAACCTCCCACGGTTAGTCTGACGGCAAGGGAACTCTAACCCATGATCCACCTAAGACTGAAAATGTTTTACGTCAACACTGTGGTCGGTGCGAGCTAGGTGCGGAATTCGTATCGACCAGCTTTTGCTGAGATTCGAATCCAGTTCACCTCTTTAGAAGGCAAACGCTAAATCCCAATTATGAAACCCTCGTACTACTTTTTTTTTCTTTTTTGAAAAAAAAAAAAAAAAAAAAACGGCCTTAACACTTAAAAATATAATTAGCCTCATAGATTTATGTATAAGTTATTTATAGGTAGTGGTGATTAAAATTCTTTTAAATACACTTTAATAAACTACTAATGAAACATAAATATGTATCTAACAAATCTCTAACAAAAATCTTTAGTAGTTGTGTCAGAAATTTTGTAGTTGTGATCTATCTTGGTTCTATGTCTGAGTGTGTATTAGAGTTGGCAGGTAATTTGCCAAGCATTTGATTTGCACATTTTATGTCAAAAGCAGTGATAATAGATACGAACTTCCAAAAAATGCAAAAAGTGATAGAAAAATAATTGTATTTTTATTTCTGTTAAATCGTTCATCCGTGGCTATAACGACATAATCAATGCATATTTAAAACGAAAATCTTCATAGCTTTTCCATTTAAAATTGAACTAAAAACAATATAGTAATGCCAATTTTGTTCTCCTTTAATAGATTTTTTCTTTTTAAATCTTCGCCACTTTTGACATTTTTAGAGAAACATATCAACTCAGCACTTGCCTTGTCCAAATAAAAATTAACAGTTATAATTTAATAATATTTATGACCCGAATACATTCGTAAATAAAACACTTTCATAATTAATGTATTCACCTTAGTCATTTATGAAAACATTTACGATGAAATAAGTGGTCGCTGTTATAAATTTTTCCTTCAATTAACAGGTGCACCCTTGCGGGTTCCAAAAATTGCATCCAAACCTAACAGTATTAGTCAAGCGATGCGGTAAATTGTGTCACATGGTTGTCAGCACGCTGCCCTCACTTGACGTTCATTGGACAGTTACTACCCGTGACAAGGACGGTTAAATTAATCAAGAATTTTATAAATGCTATAATCATTTTTATTATATTTTTAGTGGTAGATTCAAAGTTTGTCTTTATTCTTTATAACGCTGTTTATGTTTTTTAAATAATAAACATTTTAGTTTTTTTAGCATTTAAATTATCTTAGCTGGCAACTTACACTGCAATTGAGAAAAATATTTTGTTGTGTTATGACTGATTCTAATCTTATATGCAAATCTTAATTTTTCAAGTCCTAAAGAAAATTTATTTTTCCTACTAAAACTTCTATTTTATGTTTAACTTCTATCACAATTTTAATAAAAAATAATCTTATTGCATTTAATGATCAAAGCTAATTATTATCTTTGTTCCTGAAATTCATTTATTTCAATTTTTTATTTTAAATGAAACACGAAGTATAATTTAACGAGCTTATTTGGTTATTAAAATTTCATCGTTATCATAATAGTATTACTCATTTAGGGTGTATTATGAAAAACGTCAGTGTTAAGAATACTGAGCAATAGAATTTACAGAATTAAAAAAGCCATAAAGAACTCTCTCCGCACTATTAGAATAGCAATTTTCAGTCAATCTACTAGGTTCACTAGATTAAGTAACGCCTACCTTCTATTCTTAGCTTATCTCAACGTTGAAAAAAAAGCTGTGGTAACGCCTACTTTCTACTCCACCATATACAAAGAAACACGACTTTATTTCTATTCTAGAGATAGTTCTACTAATTAGTTTAAAAACCTCCGAAGAGGTTCCCAAAAATTGCCTCTGCCGACGGTTTTTCACGTCGACATGGCGGGGTATTGGGAAAAGTTTTCAACTAGCAATAGTCACGCCTCGGTAGAACCTCATTGGCTATGACACTGCCTCTGCGCAAAGCTAACGATCTTTGAAATTGGATATACATGAATAATTTATTACTTAATAATGAGTGGTAGATACAGTTTTTTCTTTTTTTAAATTCTTTTCCCCCCTCCTTTTTTTTTCTAAAATAAGACTCAAGATTTCATCTGTTTCCCGCTTCCAGATAACAATCACTCCTGACGCATTATGTCCACTCTAATAACTGCTTTTCTTTCAAAACGTAAAAAATGTAAAACTATTTGTTTTTGTAACTTTAAGTAACATGCAACTGAAGTGAAGTTGGACTAAATTCTGAAATTTTTCGAGTCACTAAAACTTGGAAGTTTTTCTATTTTTACAAGCGAACAAGAAAACTCTCGAACAAAAATTTCTTAACCTGTCACGGGATAATAATTGCAACATGTCCTGATACCCTAAATCTATATATCGGAAATTTTGTTACACTTTTTTTTCTCCCATTTGCAGAGATGCTAACTTGCTTTGTAGAAAAAATTTTTCTATTGGTTAATTTTATATTTTCATTCATGATTCTCGGTTTGGTAAGTTTGATTGAAAGTGGTTTTGCTCGTAACATTTGCTTGCACAAATAATTCAAATGTATAAATAGAATTATTATTTCTGTCAGACTGCGAAGAGACTTTAACTGTGTTAACGAAATTGAACAAGATATAGTTTTTAATTTTCTACTATTATATCAAATGCCAACCTGTTTCTGAATGTAATCAAATTCAAGCTATTTTTTGCAAAATTTACTTTGTAGTTATTTACCGTTTGTTTAAATTATTTTGGCGTGACCGGAGCAGTTGGCATCTCTGAAAAGGTGCCCATAGGGCATCTAACTAAACAAAGGATTTGAGTACCCACAACCTGGAAAAATTAAAGAGTGGTGATGAACCTCTCTCTATATTGCTTAAACTTTCATACAGTTAACCTCCAATTTAATTTTATAAAACCAGTTTTGAAGTTTTCACACCACGATAAACGAGCTTTTGTCAGATATAAATACTTCAAAGTGTGTATATTTTTTAAAATTTAGTTACCTCTTTTTAACTATTTCCAGGTCGTGCTTAGTCAAAATATATCCGATCTGAAGAGATTTAGATTTCACCAAATAACCTCTGAGTGTATTATAATAGCAATGAAGAAAAAATTTATTGAAGTAACCTTTCGCACAGTTTTATGACATATAGGGTGGTTGCAGCATTCTATTAAAATTAAAATAGTGGTAGAAGAATTATAATTCTTTTACTTACTTTTGGATAGACGGACAGTTTAACTACCACAGTAGTACGTTTGCAATTTAGGAATTTATTTCAGTTGCTGTTGTTTCTAATGACACTTGCCAATATCAGCAAGCCTACTATGGGAATCAAAATAAAAAATTTTAAGACAGAGGTGTGTTTCTTACTTTTCAATGGACCCATCTATGGACAAAAATAAGACTGCAGTCACACACATCCACGAATTTCAATTTTGACCTGAACCAGAGAACGATCAATCTCAAATTCAATACCCCAGAGGTATTGAATTTGAGATTGATCGTTACGGGAACTTGAAGAACTTTGTGACCCCGCCAAATATAATGTGCAACAGTCACCATTTAATACACGGAAGAATTTAATTTTAAAACAGACAAGAGTGATATTTTTAAATTGAAGTTAAAGGACCTTCTAGTCTCTTAGGACTTCCTATTTCTAGGCCCCTTTCTACTAAAGGCAGGTCTCTAGTTAAAATATGAATCCCATTTATTCATTAGTTCATATCTATAATTGTTTTATCTATTGATAGAGAAAAAAAAATTCACAATAATAAGTTCTATTATAATTTTGAAAACATAAATCTGCTGGTCCTTTAACTTTTTTCCACACTGAAGAATTATGCATCCTGTTTAATAGGGACACATTTTAAACGCTATAGCGCATAATCGGAATTACTAATAAATACAAAAACAAAGGCTAGCATGCTTTACAAACTCAAGCGTAAAATAGGAAGTAGTAACATGAAAGTTCTATTACGTATTTTAATTGCTAGCGTCACATGAACTAAGGATTTGGATCGAGCCATTCATAGGTAAAAATATATGTCACATCGGCTTGATAATATTTGTGTATTGTGCTTGATAATATTGAAGTAGTAACATGAAAGTTCTATTACGTATTTTAATTGTTAGCGTCACATGAACTAAGGATTTGGATCGAGCCATTCATAGGCAAAAATATATGTCACAACGGCTTGATAATATTTGTGTAATCAAAAAAGATATCATAGTGGTATACAGTATAAAAATTTACTAAGGCTATGACAGTTAATTCAATAAATCAAATATTAAGGTACCAATAAATATTGCATAGCTGCCAACAGGGATAGGAAAAAATCCAGTAGATTTTACAAAATAATATAAATTTCATGATAACTGTTCCATAATATTTCATATAGGGAAGTTTTTATTGTCATCAAAATACAAAAGCCTTATTACACTAATAACTATAAATGATCGGTAATATTTTCTATTTATGATTGGCATTAAATTTTAAATGTAATTTTATTATGGTGACTTTTAATTTTAAATTGTAGTAGACAAAGTAAATCATTATTGATAATATAAAAAGGATAAGGTTCTGAATAAAAACAAACTGAAATTTTTAGAACAAAGAAAAAGTAAAGTTTTAAACTGATAAGAGAGGCTTGTGTAATTATGTACTAAGTAATACTTAAATATTCAGGCTAGCAATAAATTGTGTAAAAATTCTGTTCCAATAGGATTTTTTTTTTTTTTGGAAAACTTGCTCAATTATAAGGAATTTTCTAAAATGTACAAAAACCAGGAGGATTTTTATTATACTAGTAGGCCTGGAAAAAATGGCAAAATCCAGTAGTCTACTGGTAAATATAGTAGAGTTGGAGGTTATGAGATTGTCATAGGACGTTCAGAGATTACTAAGTTTTCTTTCATTGCTAATAATTATAACATAACTAGAAACTTCTTAACTAACATAACAGATATGCATTATGCACACAAAAGTCGTTTGCGGAAAATTTGTCACATTGCAGAAACTTCTTTAACATTTCTCATTAATATACAACGTAAGTTCCAATTATTACAATAAACTGAATAATAGAGTAGGCTAATAGGATTAATATACTAATTATAAGAATCAATAAATTGATAGCAAAAAGTTTTATAATTGACATTTTGTGTTTGCAGAATATTTCTCAGTTTATCTAAGTATGCTAACAAACATCAAAATCACATTGAGCAAATTTTTTATACATACTACTTCATAAAAAATATATTTTTTTTCTATTATTTCATAAAAGTTAAAATAGATAAACTATTTTGTCCTTTTCATAAAAGAAAAATTTTGAATCACCATAAAATTATATTCTACAATGTAAAATTATAAAAATATGTTTAAACAATTTTAATCCAGCAAAAAAAAAAATTTTTTTGCATAATTTAAAAAAACTTCCCAAATTTAAAATTACTAAAATAAAACTTTTAAATAATTTATCTGTACATTTTATTCTCCCAATGAACATCCCACAATGCATACCACATGCATGTATGAACATCCCACAATGATTTATTTAGACAGATTTATAATTACTTTCAGGAAATAAAAATTTGAAAGGAAAATAAAGGATTTCTAAGGTGCCTACATGTCAGATTTAAATAATCAATGCTTACTTTAAATAAAAATAAAAAAAATTACGATTGAAACATAAAAACTACCTAATTCAATTAACAATCTGTCTTAAATCTAAATACAGATTCAATGAAAACACCAAAATTATAAGATGTAAATTATTCAGGGTTTTTGACGTCAAAAACCTATAAAAAAAAGTGCCAAAAACTTTCGTAATCTGTTGAAAACTGTCAAAAACACAAGAAAAGTTTCTTTTTTGACATTTATTTGATACTAAACCAAACCTCTCGAACAATACTAGCATTATATACTACATAATTACAAATCATATTATCTATGACACATAAAAAATGTAGCTTCAGTTATTGAAAATAATAACTGGTTTTTCTAATGGTACTCTTAATACTTTAAGATCCATATTAGAACTATTCGGCTTACATTACAGCAAATGACTATGAGTAGCTAATTATTATCAATCTAAATATCGATTTTGATTCTTTTATGTTATAATTTAGGTAGATTCTTCAGATAAAGTAAAATTAAAGTATTCACCAATAATGGTCTGATCTTAAGGTTTAATTTCTTTTTTATTGATTCTAAATATTTATTACATTCAGGAGAGCAGAGTATGCTTGACAGCACGAACAAGTTTCAGAGGAAATTCAAGCAGCCATGAGGAAATTTTTGGCTTAAAAAATTTCTACAAAATGTCTTGTTAAAAAATGTGTCGCCTTTGGAAAATTTTCTCTTAGAAAAAAAAATTACAATTTTTGTATTGATTAGTTTGAATTCCTTAAGTTTATAAAGTGGAACCTTAAATTTAATAATTATTACTATTTCTATATGTTATGATTTCTATTATTTTATAACATATATGCTCGTTTATTCAAGAATTGTGTAAACTCAAATTAATTTTTTCTTATACAAACTTTATTTTCAAAAAATAATTGTAATAAGTCACTGTGTTAAAAAAAAAAGCTAAAATTTTAGAGGAAATTTTGATCCAAAAAGAATCTTTATTCATGGGGAATATTAAGCTCTGAGAATTTTTTGCACTTCCGCTTATATATACAGGAACATTAGTGAACTAATGTTAATTATATTAATGTATAATAAGATCATTGATTAGTGAACTAATTATAATTTACAAAAACATAATTGTTAGCTAAAATGAGTTAATAATTCTTTCAATCTATCATTTCAATGGTTTAACTAAAATTACTTTTAATATTTGGTACAGCTATCCTAGTTATGTGTTATTTTATTATGTTATAATAGCTTTAGTATGTCTATATTTTAGTCTATGCAGCTCAGCATCAATCAAAATAATAGTTTCGAATTTCAATCTTATTCATACAAAACTGAAAAATCAACTTTGAGTACAAAGGACTCCAAAAAATTTTTTTAAATTGTAATTTTATGCTTCAGGCAAAAGAGGAGTTAAAATAAGAGTAAATAATAATTGATTTAACATTTAATGAATAAGATGATTGTTGAGTGTTTTTTTTTTATCAAGCTGATTGTTTTTGTATTTTTATATGTACATATAGTAGCAAGATTTCTTTAAAAATTTGAAACGTTTAGTCTTTAGAAGGAATAATAAATAAATTTATTTTTCAATAAAGAAAAGTTCAACTTAACATAAATTTCCATATTGAAGACAAAGTTGCGCTAAATTTTTTTCTCTCTTTAAAAAATATTATGATTATATACACCTAGATACTTCTCTTTTTGCAATATAAGGTATATAACTAAATCTTTAATCAACTAGAAAACTAAATTCTTCACAGTTTGTTATGCTAAATTTAATTTTTTCCCACCCCTGCGGCTCTAATTAAAAATTTATACAGCACAACTTTCATAAAAATGTTATAGTCTATGCCTCCAAAAAGTCTAAGGCTTTGCTGTTATATAAATAAGCTGCTATATAAACATGAAATAAAGCATTTCAAATAGGGAAGCTTAACAATAAACAGAAGAAAAACAATCAAAAATATTAAATAAAATGCTGCATAATATACATCTGAATAAACAAAATATCTCTAGATATATTTTTCTTAGATATATTTTTCACTTTTCAATGTTACCATAAGACTCTTAAAGAGCAATTTAATTTTAAGATCCCATTATTTACTACCTTTTAAACATAAATTAAGAATTTACTACAAACTGATAAGAATACAGATAGCTTTAAATTGTTTTAAACAAGAAAATTTATAAATACTTTTTTTTTATAAGAATGGAAAATACAAGATACATCTCAAACCTCAAAAATTTTTAGTTAAAAATAATTAATAGTAAGAAGGTAGAAATTAAAATATTTTTTCTTCTAAAAACTTTTTTACCCAGTTTACTAAACAGTGTTAAAATAATTATCAATTTATAAACAATAAAGTTAGCTATTAATCAAACCTAGATTGAGAAATAATTATTTTGAATTTTAAGTTACACAACCTACATAAAATAATTTAGAATTGAGTATATTGAAATGGCATTAAAGGAAAATCTTTCACCACAGATTAAAATTTGCTAGAATACATAAATTAGAGAATGAAATTAATCACTAACCAGAATTGAAATGAAAAAACTAAATACTTACTAAATGATTTATTACAAAACAAATTAATCCAACAATTATTACTTTCACAGGCGGAATGAGCACATTTGATGATATCACAGAAACTAGTTAGAATCATGAACAAATTATACAAGAAAACAGTTCAAAAATGTCTAAATCAGTCACTGTTTTTGTTCCTCAAGAACTTGATCTTGAATGTGTTGCTGCTTTTGCGCCTCTTCCACAGCAGCTGGTTGCTGAATAATTATAGGAACTACTCGTTCATTTTTAGGAGGCTCTATCTGCTTCCTGGGAGCTTGAATAGTTAGAACACCGTCCTGGCTTAAAAATGAAGTGACTTTATCAGACTCAACATCATCTGGAAGCTTGTAACGTCTAGTGAATTCTCTAGTTATGAACCCATGTTCATCAGCTCTCTGTTCGTGATTTCCATGAATTACAATGAAGTTGTCAACTGTCTTGACGTCTATTTCATCAGGTCGGAATTGCTTGACGTTTAACATCACTTTAAATTGGTTGCAGTCGCTGCTACCTTCAGACAAAGGAGATCTGGTTTGTGGACGGGGTGAAACTATATTTAAGTGAATATGGGATGGCTCAAAATAATCATCGAGTAAGCCCAAACCAAGACGAGGTGCTACGAGGTAATCGAAGGGGTCGTAAGCATCACGTAGAAATCGACTGACCATTTTGAATCTCTGGATACTAGGATCAAAAACAAATTCGCAAGTGAAATTTGGAGCTCGGTAATTCGATGCAAAAGTTATATTAATGTCAAAGTAACTAAGTTCACTGTCAAGAACTGTTCTAGAATCTTTCAGTCAGCGATTTCTACAGGGTTTATAAACAATGCCAACATTTACTCTGCAATTTACTATACGCGAGCAGAATTTTCGAGAAAATGCTCGGGCATCCAGCGTTTTTTGTTTGATTTGATGGATCTGGAGGTTACTGTAATGTAATGACAGAAACGCGTGTGTAAGTTGGCGAAAACTTATCCAATACATCGCCAAATATTCTCGTGTCGAATAGCATGCTTTCAGAATTCGTTTCTCATTCTTGCATTATATAAAAAAATAAGATTTTATTTATTTATTTTTTTATTATTTCTTATTACTCTTAGAAAATATATGCACATGATATGAAATTAGCTGCATCAAATTTCTTTTATGTTTTATTTTTAAAAAAATGACATTCTAATTCTGTCATCTGTCGTTTTTTTTTTTTTTTTTTTCTTTTCTTCTTAAATTTACGATAAATTAAATTTATTTGAGTTTCCCAAAATAAGCAAATAATAAACATCATATCTTATTCCCACTCTTATTTCATGAAGTAAATAAATTCAAAGAATAAGAGTTCTTTTTTTTATTTGCTTTTGTAAATAAGTTAGAGAATTTACATTTACGGATGGTATAAATTTAAAATTGAAGTTTTTTTTATCCCTCCTGTTCGTGATAAATTTTTTTTTATAAATTATGGAAATTAATTGCTTTATAAATTAGATAAAGTACTCTCTTTTTTTTCTATCCCAAGTATACAGTTATGATATATTTTGAAAGTACAGTTTTTAAGGGGGGGGGGACAATATTTTTTCAGGGTTTTTTTTCCCTCCCTTCTAAGCATATGTTAGTCTAAAGAGATGAAATCTTAATTTTTGCAAGTGTCATTCAACTGCTTGAAGCATTTGGTGCTTTCCATTACTATGACATCCGTTCCATTCTTTTGTTAAATTTCCTATCGGTTAAATGGGCTTAACAGTTTGAGAATAAAGGCGAATGTGTGAATCAGTTTCTAAATAAAAATATTATTAAATGAGCCAATTTTTTTCTTTTGTGAACGACTACATATCTTGTTACGAGTTGAACACTGAAAGTCGTAAACTCAAAATTGAGTTGAGTCGGCTGTTCAACGCCGGTTTTGAAAAAAAATAGAGAAACTTAGTTATTGCATTTTAAGATCTAAGTTAAATTTTTTATTGAAATATTCATGTTTTTGTTCAAAACACAGAAATGTTAAACTTTGACAAAAAATTTTCATGTTCATTATTTCTTTAGTTCATCAACGACATTATTTCATAAACAAGTTTTTTTTTCATAAAAAGTTATTTTACTTATTTATTTTTAAGTGAAAATTGATGAGTTGCCAATTGCATTCGTTTCTCTCACCAATTTACGCTTTAATGGATAAAATTTTGTGAATTTTTGAAGATGTATTCATACTTCTTTATACCCTCAAACATTATTTTAATTTGAATAATGCTTCGAAAATTCATTTGAAAAATGAGGGAAAACAATTGGGGGGGGGGGAGTTACATTCTTTATTTTTATCAGGGGAATAAAAATCATAAAAATACAAAACATTAGACTTTTGAAGAAAAGTTAAATTTAATCGAGCAAATTCTTTAAAGAAACTAAAAAAGTTAAAAAAAAATATTTCCCTTGTGCACGGCTCACAGAAAAGTACCATTTCAATTAATATGCAACTAATATTTCATTTACATTTGAAATTCTTCTTACTTTAAGCGTGCTGAACTAATGTAAACTTTTGTAAGCTTCATGTAAACTTTTTTGTAGCAAAAAGGATAGATTAACTGCCAAATCTGTCGAGAGGATCACACACTTCCGATGAGACTGTTCCCATAGCAACCAGATTTTAGGAGAAATTTCTGGATCTCTTCCTGCCTATATAATGACGCGGCGGCATGTTTGTTGTAATTTGAATTTGCGAATTGTCAAAATACGATTTTGCATTCACTGAAGAGTAATTCCTATTTCTGCTTTTGTTCTCTATTGCTATACGATTTACTATTTCGTTGTGTATTTATCGTGAAACCTCTGCTTCGAAATGGCGTTTTCTTTGCTACCTCTGTTGACCGGCGGCAATTCATGGTGGGATACATGGGACTACCCCTCCACGCTGCTCGACCAACATTTTGGAATGGGTTTGCTGGACTCTGATTTGCGTCCTCCTCAATTTTACAGAGGATATCTCCTTCGACCCCGAACCCAAATGAACATCGATGCATCGGGACTGTCTGAAGTGAAAAATGAAAAAGATAAATTTCAAGTGAAGTTGAACGTCAGTCATTTTAAGCCTGAAGAAATCAACGTAAAGGCTGTTGACAACTCAATCGTCATTCATGGTAAACACGAGGAGAAATCTGACGAACATGGTTTCATCTCCAGAGAATTCACTCGTCGGTACATGCTACCGGAGGGAACCGAACCCGAAACTGTTACATCAACCCTTACACCCGATGGTTGTTTAGTCATCGAAGCTCCAAAGAAAGCAATCGAGCCTCCACCTTCAAAGGAAAAAGTTATCCCAATTGATGTCCAGAAATCTGAAGATAAATGAACTGTTTCTGAACTGATCCTCCTAAATACTGAAGGTAAATAAGACTGTTTATAAACTGTTTACATTTAATGAAGTAAATTGCATTATATTAATGTTAATGGTATAGAAAAATTGGGGATGTTTTCTGTGATAATTTCCTCTGTCATAAATTTCATCTGTTATCCTGTAATGTAAATTGGAATGATCAAATAAAATTGTATTGATAAGTAATGTGTCATTATTGTGGACTTATTTACACAAATTACCAATACAATTTAATTTGGTAGCTTTATTTACATAAGTTATTAATTATATGTATTAAATTCTATAATTAAACATCCAAGAGAAAACATTTAGATGTTTAATTATAGAATTTTATTGTCATGAAAAAATGCATTTAAATTTCAAAATGTATTTATGAACTCAAACTATATTTTTTAGAATGAAAATAATAGGAATAGATTTTTTTTTAAAAAGCATTATAAAAATTTTAAAGTTGTATGTTAAAATTAAGATGATATACTTGTTTTCTGTTAACGAATTAACCACTATTAAAAATTGAACTGATTTAAAAAATCTGACATGGAAGTAGCTATGACCACTGTAATTGACATTTAGCTCTGATACTAATAATACCTTCCTAAATCTCATTCAATTTAATGGTAAATACCAGTGTTATTTCACTTATGATTATTTCTTTTAAGACTAATAGTGTTTTGCTTTCAAAAACGAATGCATTGTTTAAATGATCTGAGCACTTAATCAATTTTATTTCTAAATATATAGTTCAGTCACACAAAAAATTGTCTCAAGAAAAGCAAATTTTAAGTTTGTAAAATCAATTGATTTGATTTAGATTATATTAAATAAAGTGGAATAAGGGTGAAAATATTGCTATAATTCTATATAGCTCATATAAAAAGCTCATTTAAAAATTTCTTTCATTTTTTATACAAATATTTTCAAACATAATTGCTTGCGAGAAAACATAAATCAGAGAATTATATTTTCGAAGATGGATTATTATATTCTAGCTTTATTAACACTGCCAAGTACAGTAGAGCGCCGATTATCCGAACGTCCAATTATTTGAACTATGTCCGAATTCGTTTTTTTTTTCTTTCAAGTTTAGAATACTTTTTAACTTATCGACAATTTTTCTAAATTTAGAAGAATAAATAATATCCACTACATTTAATGATCATATTTAATTTACAACCTTTCTTAGCAGTTTTCCTTCAGTAGCCATACATATATGTATTGTTATGCAGTTAAACCTACGTACCCCTTTAGCCCTCTTCAACTGAAAATTATTTTCAAAGAATGCGAGCTTCATTTGACAGTCTAGTTTCTAGAATGTCAAAATGATGTTGATCCAGTTCAGTTGATTTATTTAAAAAGAATAAGGGCTGCTCAAAAAAGAACATCTTCTTTGAAACAAATCTTAGCTGGATTTCTTTTGCAATGGAAAATAAACAAAAAAGGTTTAAATCAGTAATTGACAACAAAAAAATTATAAAAAGGTGAAATATGATAAAATAAATAAATAAAATAAAAACGATTTAAAAATTGCAGAAAAAACTTTTAAATGCGACAGAGCTATTTTGAATAGTACTTCCAGTTCTAAGCCTGGAAAAAGTGAGAAAAGGGAAGTTAGTGCATAAATAATAATCATTTAAACTAGATTTTAAACAACTTTCCAACTATACGAACTTTTCGTTATCCGAACCACGTTCGGTCCCGAGGAATTCGGATGATCGGCGCTCTACTGTAGAGTTAATATGAAGTAAGGAAATAAAATTTTGCCAATTCCTTATAAAGATCTGAAATTTATAAGTTGTTTTTATTTGAGTAGTGACAATGGTTGAAAATTCAAGAAAAAAAGTGTAGTGTTATTAATTAAAAAAAAAAAATATTTCAGACGATTACATTATAAGTGTATCTGTAATACATAAAATGAATAATTCAAACCAACAGGCTTTTACATTTCTGCCAAAACAGGTACCAAGACAAAAAAAGTGGAAGTTGACACTTTAATATGTTTATCAGGTCAAAAAATTTATGTGGTTTGATGGTCATTAAGATTTGATTTGGGCCACCATAAATAATCAGTGATCTCAATCCTCAATGTTAAAAGACTGTAAGCTGTTTTGGTCACTATATAGCATAGTTGAAGGCATTATACACTCTATGTATTATAATTTTCCATTTAAATTCACTTTATTAATATTTCATTTTAAAACTAAAATCTAATCAAGACTTGTGAACAGAAATGTGTAGTTTGTCCAGACTTTTTATATTGGACTTTTGGACCGATATCTGCATTTTATAAATTTTTTCCCTCTATGAACGATATTCTGGGTATCAAAGTGTGAATTACAATTTTTAAAAAAAAAGCTTTTTGAAAAAAACTTACTAAGTATGGATTTACCAATTTTTGTGTTTTGAGGCCATTTTTTATGTCTTAAGTAATTACCTAAAATTAAAAATAAAATTTTTATTAATGCAGTTTGTATCTTTAAATCATAATATCTTTAGATCATTATCATAAACAAGGAAGATTATTTAAATCAGTTTTGTTATTATTTTTCTTTTAAAAAAATTAATAAATAAAAAATAATAAAAAAACTGAAATATTTGAATCAACAATCAATTTTTTTAAGTTTTCTCCAATTATTATTTATTTAACAACAAACAGAATGTAGAGTGGTAAAATTTAGAAAAAAACTAATGATAAAAATGGAACATTTTGTAGAATTTCAAAATACTTATGTACTTATTATTTTCTGAATAATTTGCATAAACTGCATAAGATGTTAAGTTATGGAATTTTTAATAAAAAATTAAGAAATAAATACAGATATAGAATAATAAAATCAATTTATATTATTGCATGGTATGAGGGACATTCTTGTTTGTTCTTCTTTTAGTTCCTAATTGTTTTATGTTATTGTTTCATATTTAGTTCTTAATTATGTAACAATCTAACATACATTTCTTTATACTTAGCACTCTGGGGAAATTTACTTCGTTATGTATCATGATGGATGTCAAATGATATGAAGTGGAATCAAGGGAAACCCTGTTCTACAAAATCATGTAACTATATAAGGTTTTTAGTATATTAAACCATTACTAATCAACTGACTCATACTTTTTGTTAAAAGGATATTAATTTGTTACATAATCTTCTGCACTTTTGTTCTTCATATAGTGCCTTATAGTAATGTCCAAAAATGGCTGTTACCTAATTCCAATGGGCGTACTGCTCATAGTTAAGTTTCATAAATTAAACTGAGTTTTCTGTGATCAGTTATACTCAGTCTTTCATATTTATAATATAATACGTTTATGTTATTGCATTATATATTCTTATTTAATTATCTTTTATGCTACTATTATTTCATTATTCCAAGATAAATTGACCATTGTTCAAATACTATATTAGTTATATATAGCAATATAATTTTTCAATCTTTTAATTAAACTTTTAAAGCATTTGTTGTAAGTTATTATTTAGAGTAAATTTCGTATTCTCTATATCCCCTTGTGACAGAATTGAAGCAAAAATATTCTTATGTATTACTCCACACAAAATCACAGTAGATAGCTGCTATTTTGTGACTTCTATTTGTATTTTCTGACTGCTATTTTGTATTGTTTGACTGCCCCAAGCAGTCTTTTGAAAAATTTATTTTGCATTTTTTTTCTTTTTTATATGCAAGCTTTTGACTATTTCTCAATGAAAAATTATTCTATGAATGATATTTCTGAATGATTCTATTTTCTATGAATGATATTATTAGTGTTAATTCTTGATCAAATTAATTTTTCTGTTCTTATCTAGGTTTTTCGAATGAGCACGGTCAATTAGTTTTAAAATCATTCTCAAATTTTCATTGTGTATGAGTTTTTATGCATATATATGTACCAGCAATTTCTATTTTTAGTAGCAATATCTTTACATATTTTTTTTATAAATATGTACGAGCAATATCTAGCATTTTTTTTATAATTATAAATTAATATATTTAAAAAGAATTGAAGAATGATTGAACAATTCACACCTACTTTTTTTACCTACTTTTACTGTTTTACTGGTGACTTTTATGTAAATTTTGTACAATATTATAATTTCTAATTATAATATCGTAAAAAATGATGACACTTAAAGTTCAAATTTCTTATTTTACCTTAATTTTATTTTTACCTCTCATTGTATACTGTTATAAGTTCTTTTATTCTTTTCAGAAGATCAAAAACCTTTGGATGTTCTGTATTAATTTATCTTTAATAGACTTGAAGCTAAAACCAAGAAGTAAGGTAGTGACATGGTACAATATTATTGTTTGAACCATATTTTTATCTACAAATTATAAGATCAAACTGAATTGTGTAATTTTCTAATAATATAAATTCAAATTACTGAGTTTATAATGTTTTATAAAAGTGTATTTATTTTTAAAAAATATAATATTTTGATTTTAGCATCTATTTCTATCTTTAAATTTGTCTAGTAATCTTTCTAAATATAGTTTTACAGATATAGTTTTATATATAGTTTTGTCCTTAAATAATCCTTTTATTGATTGTTTTTAACCATTATTATTGTTATATATCTATATATTTTATTTTGAAAATATGTTCCTCATCTCCATTTAGTAATTATTTATGTGATTGCAAAATAGTTGTGTAAAATAAAATCCTGTTTTTATGTTTCTGTTTGCAATTAATGAAGCATTTCTACTTCTGACAGAAGCAAAATATATAAACTAAGAGGGTGATAAAAATTTAACTGGTGTTAATAATAATATTTTTTTTTCTTTATTGTCCATTATAAGACTAATCTGTATATCGATATAACAGTATTTTTATTATACCTGCTAATTCATAATAATTTCAATAATTCATAATAATTGGGTGGTACCAATTCTATCTTGTGTATCCCAAAAATGAGTTTTTTTTCTTTACTAATTCTAATCATGTCTTAACTACTCTTGAATCATAATATAATTAGAATAATTTATAATTAGAATTAAAAACTGAAATCAAACTAATTTAAATAAAAATAATTTGTATTCAATGGTTATAGTTATTCAAGTATCAAGGAAGTCAGATGTGCCATTTAATTTAGACCTTTTGTAACAACTTTCAAAATTTAAAAAAAAAAAATGTTAATTAATTTTTAAAATGTTTAAAGGGAAATATATTTTAATTGTAAGTAATTTTGGATAACTGACCTTTTTTTTCTTCTTTTTAATGTGGTGTTTTTCTCTTCTTTGAATGCATATATTTAATTTGCATATTTTTACTAACCTTTTTTACAACACAAAATATCTCATGTATGTAGTTTTTGTATTAAATTTTTTATGGCAAATTTTATTTCTCATTCTGAAAACTGATTTATTGCACAGAAAGAAAAAAAATTGTGGGATTTTACCATGAAGTAATAATCAGAGGTTAAAATGCTAGTTTATGTGATTGTGAAAATAAATATTAAAATAAAATTTCAATTATTACTTAATTAATAGGGTTTTTTTTTCTTTAAATTTTTTTTCACTTATTTCAGTACTTTTTATTATACTAATTCCTATTAACTCATTGGTTGCTAATCTTACACCAGTCTAGGATACTTTTGAAGTTATGCTGTGGCACAAGATTGGCAGCAAATGTGTTAATACACATTAGTGAGTGCAATTTTGGTTAATGTTATTCAAACTCATTTCCATTTTAATGTTTTCTGATAATTTTGCGCAATACATTATATAATAATCCAATTCTGTGCGTGTACAGGGTGATTTAAAAACAAGGAGTATAAATGGTGGAACATTACTGGTTCAAGTACTATAAAATTTGGTAAATATATAAGACTGAAAATAATAAGGGAGAAAAAATTTTAAACTTCATAGTGTTTTCAATGATTATTTAAATGTTAAATGAAGGAAAAAAGATTAATTTTATTGATCTTGAAATGTATATTATCTGGTTACAAAATTATAAAAAAGGCTTTTATAAAAATTTGTAATATCATAAAATATAAACAAGATATCTATACATATTCTCATGAACAATGATTCAGATTTTGTGAAAGAGATTATTTTCTATTAGATATGAAACTATTCATATAACTGGAATAATTTTAAAATGTAAGATTGAAAAATTAAATTTTTCTTTACTATTGAAATGAATTCATTGTATAGGAGATTTTTAATTATATTTTAAACATATTCTTTTGTATAAAAGATACTCTTCTGAAAAACATTCTGGTCACTTTCAAACTAACAATTATAATTTTTCTTATAAATTGATGCATTGATATTTTTGAATTACAAGAAAAGGAAATGGTGATGGGATTACAATTTTATCTTCCCTTTTTATACAATGTATTGATTAGAAAATCGTGGACTTATGCTTACCTAGCTAGTAAAATTTCATTTGACTATTTATACAAAATCAAATATGATTTTCTGGTAAAAAAAGTGTCATTTTTTTACATTTTGAAATAAAACTAAGTTTTTTATGTTAATTTACATTTACAGCATATATTTCTTTTGGTATATTTTCAAAAGAGTAAAAAATTTAGATTTTATTTTGGATAATAAATTTTCTCTTAGTTACTTATTTACTAGCAATAAAAAGTGTTTTTAGCCAAAGTACCTATTATTGATAAAGTGTGTGCATTTCTATCAAATTATTTTCTCCTTATTAATGTGTTAGTAATTTTTCAGGATTTTTGTGCATAAGTTTTCAAATTTAAAACTAAAATGTTGATCTTCATTTGATAATATCGTTTATTTCTATTTTTAGTTAAGAAAAATATACCTTTATTTGGAAGAATTATACAGCCAAAAGAAAGTTGATTGAAAGCATTCAAAATAAGGTTCAAGAATTGTTATTTTGCAAAAATGGTAAACTTATAATTTTTTAGCAGTTATTTTATGTGAAAATCATTTTTATATCGTGAATTATTTTCAATATTGCATACTTAATTATAACTTACATACTAAACGAAATTGATAATTGCTGAAGTGTCTTATGGAAAGTTTTTTATACAGTTGCACACTCTCAGACTACTACATAATTTCCGAAGTTCTGGAAAACATTTTGCCTAGTAGTGGCAAAATAAATGCATTAATATTTTAACAAATAAAAATTATAAAAATTTCGTCCACTAATAAGTAACAAATAAAAAGTCAGATATACGAATTGACATATCCCAACAAAAGTTTTTAAAAGTCCAATTTGCTTTATTAATTTAAGCCTTATTTTTATACCACCATTATAAATATTTTGCAAAATCCCCAAATCTTGCAGGATATGCAGCTTCAGGGTTATTTTTTTACCCAATCTGGAGAAAAAAAATCCTGATATTTTTTTCACACTTACATTTGTTTAATAATAAATTAGCTCTAGATATTAAGTTTATAATAGAATAAAATACAAGCTCAATGCTTTGAAGTATATATATTTCCATTACTTTTATATTTTACTGTGCTTCAAAATTTTTTCTTAAGCTTTTAGAAACACATATATTTAGAAATTGCAAATATTGTGCTAATATATTTTCACAAAAATGTGAGATATTATAACTTTTTTTCTTCTTTTTTTTTGCAACAGTTACACTACAAATGAAACTGTTATAACAAGAATGTAATATTATATTATAATATTTTTAGAATGAATATTTTCAATTCAATGAAATGGGAAAATAATTTTTTTATATAAATATTTTTTCCCTACTATTTTCCCAGACCCGTGAGTCTTGTTACATACAGTTATGAACATTGCTTTTAAAATATTGCTAAATTAATGCAATGAAAATAAATTAATGGCAATAATTAATACTGCAAGACTTAGTCTTAGAATATAAAGAATAAAAAAAGTAATGAAATAGTTTAATTTACTTAGAAGAATTAATAAAGCCCTGAAAAAACACCAAACGCCTGGCGGTGAAAAAGGTCCAGTGGGCCGGGTTTTCCTAAAAAACCTCTGTTTTTTTAAATAACCACGTGCAACTGCTTTTATTCTGGGAATGTGCATTTCATGATATTTTTATAATAAATACATGTTAATCTATATTTTTGCATTTATTTCATAATTTTGTATTTTCAAAAACTTTACTGAACTGTTTTAAGTTAATTATCATTTAATGTGCTGATTTTTGCAAACTTTATTGTGTTTTACCTGTTTCTTCTGTCTCATGAATATTGATATTTTAAATAATTTCCTAAATTTGTGAAAGTTCAAACTCCTATCGACCCATAATTTATTCCTATAATTTTTTTATTGAGAACTTTCTATTTTTAAATCAATTCAAAAATAATTATTTTTATTATCATTGAAATTTCCAACTTATGTATTTCGAAATAAGCAATAGATATCACTAATTAATAGATATTTAATATCTAAAATGAATGAGGTGTCTTTTATTGTTCAATTTTATGAATTTAAAAATTTTATCCTTTTAATAAATAAAATTATATTTAATATCCTATACAAACGTAAAACATTGCAACAAATTAAAATTTGTCATTAATAGTTTAGTAAAGTTTTTAAATTTTGTTTCCCATTATTGATTATAAAGAAAAATTCTTAAATTATATAAGGAATTATTTGCATAAGCTTACTTTCTTTCATTTAATAAAATCTACCAGAATTCTTCTCTCTTTATGATCAGTGTAACTGCTCTTTAAAGTATATTTGTAGAATGTATGTACTTTAAAATGTATGTTTTTTCTTTTCAGTTCTCATACACAAAATTTTGTTTCATTTCAAGATAACAAATTTTAATAATTACTTGTTTTCTTTTCTTAATTAAATATCTTTCTCAGATTCAATGAGTTCTAAAAAGTTCTAATGCGTGCCTGTATCTTTATTTTTTTATTAAAAGATATAAATAGTTTAAATTTGATTGATTGCTTTTTCACGAATTCATAATTTGCATACACATACACTAATGCATATTCCTCTTTACTCCAACTTGGAGCTTAAGGCTTTTTCATTTCTCTCCACCTTATTTTTTTCTTTTGGCTCTATTCATAATTGATTTCTTTCATTTATAATTATCCTTCACTAAGTTATTTTAGGTCTCCCTCTTTCCTGTGCAGTAATATAAGAAGCTTAAAAATGTATGACTTTATGAAATTATAAAATAAAATACTGATTAAAAGCTGTGACTTGTAAATTCAAAATAAGTGGTAATCTGACTAAAGTTTAAAAAAATGCTTGCAATTTTTTTCATAAATGTTATACTTTATACTAGTTTCTAATGTTAAGTATGAGATGAAAAACAATTAATAACTTTGATCCCATCATATTTATTCTAATTTAAACTGTTTGCTGTAACATTACAATTTTAATGCACATGATGAATGTAAAGTTAGAATTGATTAAAAGCTCTGACGTGAAGAAATTTCTTATGTGGTAGGTTTATTAAAAATTTTAAGCAATTTGTTTTAATGTGCATGTTATTGTAGCAATTGTTATGAATCATTTTCTGTTATAAGATCAAAGGAATTATTATTTTCAACTTATTTATTCTTCCTTGAAACTATTTTCATGACTCAATATAATTTTCAGTGACATTCCATTTTCCATTTACTTGAAGAATTTGATAGGCAAATGTAAAATGCTTGACTAAAAAAATTTAAATGCTATATCTGCATATAAAATTCACATGTAACTAGGGTTGCAAAGAACCCACCTACCCAGTAAAACCCACTCTGAAAAACCCACCCTAAAGTGGGTTTTTCTAAAATTGATTTCTCTTTTATCCTCTGTTATATTAAAGAATATGTTGTCTAGCCTAAAAAAAAATACCTATAGTGTAAAAATTAATTGTGTTGGAGACTTGAGAATCACCTTGCTGGCTAGATTTGACTGTACGGCCATTGATTATTCAGTGCCATTGATTTGCTTTCTATGCAAATGAAAAAAATTCTTTAAATATTTTTTAAGATTAAAATATAAATAAAAAGTAATCCTGTGTAAAAATAAGTTTTAAATGTGTGATATGAGTACATATAACATTTTGTATCGCGATGTCAGAAGAAACTTTTTTCAGATTTTTGCACCAATTTATTTGTATTAATTACCTATATGTTAAGTCAATTTATAAAATTAAACTTAACTATTAATATTAAGATAAGCTTTTTTAAAATAAGGTACCTATCCCTGCCCTCTCTTTTGAAAAACCCCCCATTAAAACATGAAAAACCTAGAAAAGCCCAATAAAACCCACCCGGGTTGGGTTTGTCTAGAAAAACCCATTTTTTTCCAACCCTGCATGTAACAAATTATTAAAACCTTTAAATTATGTTTTCCAAGTTAACTTTTCATAAGATTCCTAATTATCAGCTCTAAGGTTATTTCTTTCCTACGGCTCTAATTGGGTACAATAGTTCCAAATAATAATATATATTGGAAACTAATTTTCTGTTTCTCAAATTTTTATTGACATATACAAGAGTTCTAATTATTATTATCAGTTCCTACAGAAACATTAATTTCAAAAATTTTATGTTTTAAAATTTCATATTTTAAATGTTTGTCTAAATAGCAATAAAAAAAAATGGATAATTATTTGAACTAACTTTCTTTCGCAGTCTATGTGTATATGCATCACCATATAGAGCAGTCACATCATCAACTTCCAGAAGACTGAAGATCTTCAGCTACACAATTTTATTCTGAAAGACCAATGTTTCCATTGGATACAGTCGGTCAAAAAAGAATCCGAATGTTTAAAAAAACTCATTTTGAAAAGAAAAAATAATCTGTAAACATCCGGGACACGTAAAAAAATTATTTTCCATTTTGACTTGAAAACAACAAACTTGTTTCAGTATCACTGCATTCTACATTTTATGTTGAGAATTCGAATCGGGTCAATGCATTCTAGATTAAAACTTCATGTTGAAAATTCAAATCGAACAATTTTACTAGTTTCGAACGATTTTAAGAAAAACTATCCTTTTCAGAAACTTGAAAATTTTAATTTACTTCCTTAAAATGCATTTTAAAACATGATTCGTTCTTAATCACCCGTTTAAAAAAATCATTGAAATGTATTGACTTTAAAATACCCAATTTAAATTAAAAAGTTTATTCGAATGCATGTACGTTTAGAATCGACAACGCACCGGCCGCATTTATTATTTCAAAATGAATAGTTTTCAAGTCAAAATGAATAGTTTTCAAGTCAAAAATGAACAGTTTTCAAGTCAAAAGTGAACAGTTTTCAAGTCAAAAATGAATAGTTTTCAAGTCAAAAATGAACAGTTTTCAAGTAAAAAATGAATATTTTTCAAGTCAAAAATAAACAGTTTATTATTTCAAAATGAATAGTTTTCAAGTCAAAATGAACAGTTTATTATTTCAAAATGAACAGTTTTCAAGTCAAAAATGAACAGTTTTTTTAAAACAAAACTCATTTTAAAATCACTAATCATCAATACCCAGAAAAACTAATTTCCAACATTTTCTAAAACTAAAAAAAAATAAATGTTATCTCAAATCAATAGGTTTTAAAAGCATCAAGTTTTACATCAATATCAACAGTCGAAAATCATTAGGTTTTATCTTATAATCAACTGATCAAAATCAACATATTAATATCAATATGTCCTTATAATGAAATGCTTAATAGTTTTTTTTAGAAACTCAAAACACTGTCGACGTTTCATCAAATCTGACTTTCAGACAATTTTCAGACCTATAAAACTGATTTCCAAACTTTTCCAATATTTAAAACTATAAATTAAAAAAAGTTTAAGTGGGTGTGGAAATGACATAATGTTTTACATAATGATAAATATAGAAAATATTATCACTTATCTCGAGAAACACAAGACACGGGTTCATGCAGAGGCACTGCAAAGTTCCTCCATCAAGACTGCCAGTGTTTGAAATAAAATTCACCAAACACTGACAGTCTTAGCACTAAAGCATTTGCAAAATAAAAACCATCATCGAGTGTATCCATAATTCGTTTAAAAAAAACTAGGAATGAAACTGTATTTATACCATCTCTAAAATGATAAAGTAAAAAATAGCATGATGGATTGGCCCTCTGGTGGTGAATGCTGATAAGTTGGCCCTCTGGTGGTGAATGCTGATAAGTTGGCCCTCTGGTGGTAAATTCTGATGGGTTGACCTTTTGGTGGTGAATTCTGATAGGTTGGCCCTCTGGTGGTGAATTCTGATGGGTAATATAAATAGAGCTCTAGTCCTTTGCCAATCATCAGTATCCTTCAGTTCTTTTTTTTAAAAAAATGGAATTCGATAGGCAAATTTATGAGGAAGAGTACCTCTATTTTGAACTCCTGAGAGGATACAAACAGGTACCAAAAAGAACTGAGTCGCCATATTATTTAAATAAAATGAGAGATGATGAGGACTTACCTATAAAGGCTCCCGTACCCCTGTGCAGAGTTTGCTATCAATTAACAGGGTGCGTAACGTTTGTAAAAAGTACTTAAAGGTGCTTTTTTGGGGATTTCGTTTTTAAAAGCTTTTAAAGGTGTTTTTTACAGCTGGCGTTTTTAAAAAGTGCTTTTTTTTTTCGAAATTTTTTTTTTCTCCCTTCAGTGATATCTGGTGGATCCCATGCATTTCACGAAAAATGGGGAGTTTGCTACGTAATCATTCATGCGAACTTCATGTCGTACCCACGTTATGACTTGTGCATGCGCGCACACTTTAAACCGAAACCCGAGTGCTCCAATTCGGATAGAGAATATCAGATCCTTATGAAATGTTTTTCTTTATAAAACACTTTTTTTGACGTAGGGGGTAAGGGTACTTTTGTTCTGAGTTCAGGGTCAAGTTGAATTCCCTCGGTGATGTGGGAAAGTACTGATTGTTTCAATTTACGCCCGTTTCTTTTTTGGTTTTTTTTTAACGCTAAAACTGTTTATAAAAAGTTTTTGTTTTTCAATATCATTGATTGAATATGAATTTTTTGAGTGCTTGAAAATTTTTGTTAAGTGCTTGAAAAGTTTTTAAAAAGTGCTTATTTTTGATTCAAAGATTTGGCTACGCACCCTGATTAAAAGCAAAAGGGGAGGAGTTCTACCAACTGGATTGTGGGTGTACATTTCACATAAAATGCTTGGTGAGATGGTATTGGGAAGGAACACCCGATCTCTGTCCACGATGTTTCTTATACCCCATATCACCAACGGATCGACGTGAACTGAGGATTCAATCCAACATCCATCGAAGAGCTCTATGGGACTTGCTTCAGGAAGATATAATTAAACAGGGAAGAGCTTCAGGAGATGAAATTTTGTAAATATCTTTATTTTTTAATAAATGAATGTTAGCCTTACTACTTGAATTTATTTACATTCATTTCTACATTCATTGAATATTTTTAAATAATGAAATATTTATGATTATTTTTAAATTAATTTTATTCTACATAATAGAATATTAAATGAATTCAAATGAATAGAATTTGGAATTCCAAGTCAATTAAAAATGACTTTTATTTATTTTTTTTTATTTTATTTTATTGTGACAAGCATTTGTATTTAAAAATCTAAAATGACTCTAGATTTTTAAAATTATATATTGAAAATTTGAATCTAGAGATGGTAGATTTAACATTACATATTAAAATTATATATTAAAAATTTGAATGGTTCAAAACTGTTTGAAACTAGTATTGTCATTTTATACAGAGTTATACATTCACAGTCAGTCAAAGAAGAATCCGAATGATTTGCATATTTAAAAAAGCAATCTTTTAAAAATTTCCAAACGATTTTACTAGTTTCGAACGATTTTAAGAAAAACGATCCTTTTCAGAAATTTTATCAGACGTTTCAGAAACTTTAACGTTTCATTTCACTTCATTAACGTTTTATTTCACTTTATTAAAATACATTTAAAAAAATGATTCGTTCTTAATAATCCATTAAAAAAAACATTGATATGTATTGAATTTGAAATACTTAATAACCTATTTAAATTAAAAATTTTATTCGAATGCATTTACGCTTAAAATTGACGACGCACCGGCCGCATTTATGTTTAAAATCGACGACGCTCAAAATCAGCAGCTTTTAAGTCAAAATCAGCATCTTTGAAATCCAAATCAGCAGCTTTGAAATCAAAATCAGCAGCTTTGAAGTCAAAATCAGCAGCTTTGAAGTCAAAATCATCAATACCCTGAAAAACTAATTTCAAACTTATTTTGAAACTAAAAAAATGAACTGTTATTTCAAAATCACTAGGTTTTTTATATAGTCAAGTTTTTATATCAACATCAACAAACGAAATCATCCAGTTTTTTATCTTATAATCAACTAATCAAATCAACATATTAAAATCAATACGTCTTTATAATTAAATATTTTTACGTCAAAATCAACTTATTGTAACATCAACAGTTTTTTTAAAAAACTCATTTATTTTTTTTAAAAACACTGTTGACGAAGTGTTTTTCATCAAACCTAGAAATCTGACTATTAGACGAGTTTCAGACCCAGAAAACTGATTCCAAACTTTTCTGAAATTTGAAACTATGAACTAAAAAAAAAAAGTTTAAGTGGGTGTGGCTGAAAAATAATTTCTGTAAAATTTTTAAGTTTGATCTCTCCTATTAGGGTTACCCCCCTTTTTCCACCTTTTTACTCACACAGTGCGTAAAATATTTCAGGTGTGAGATTAAAAATTAAGTGTCATTTTTTTAACGTTTCAAGTGTGAGATTTTTGTTTTTTTTTTTTTTCTATTTATTTTATTTATTTATTCAAAACCTTGTTTAGTTTTGAGACAAGGTAAATTCTTGTCACCCAATTCGTTTTCGTAGTATTTACAATCACAAAATTTTTTATCTGAATCCCATCCGATATCCGTTACGTTTGTTAAATTTTGTAAACAATAATCGGGAACGCAGGTAAAAGGGACTTCTTCTAAAGCCACCATTCTGTTACCTTTTTTGTCAACTGAATTGCATTGACACTGATAACGTAGTTTTCCGTTTTGGTATTCGTACAAATCTTTAAAGTTGAGCGCCTCTTGTCCTGTTGTTCGATCTATCAGTACGTTCAAGTTATTGTTTTTTGCTAAGGGTTGTTTACAAAAATGACTTGACACATTTTTCGCGAGACATACCCAACCGTTTGTAGAAAAGACGGATAGGGATGTTTTTAGATTGCAATTTAATCCTCCCGAAGGTAAGCAATAAGTGCCGGGCGACAATCTTTCGCTGTACAAAATCATTTCTTCATCGGGAAGAATATTTATTTTCTCATAATTTCCTTTGCAAAGGTGAGAACATTCACAATATTCATCTGGACACTTGAAACCGTTGATGGGACAAAATAATTTATCGAAGGGATTATTGTATGTATCAACAATGCGACTCGATTGATTTTTCATATTAAGTGAACCACTAAACATTTTTAAGAGGGTTGGTTTATAAAATAAATTAATTATTGTGACGACCAATACTTGTAACAAAACAAAGTAAATGAAGTTTATTCTCATAATTATATGTCTTTTATTATTGTTTTTTTCAGTTCGAAAGTTCACAATTTTTAATTGAAAGCAAAAAAAAAATGCTTTAGTCGTGTGGTGGGAAATTAAATCAAATAAGCATTTGTTGCATGTTTTTCCACACGACAAATACATATTGATTGATCAAAATGCAGTCTATCTATACGTGAACAAATATGATCAAAATACTTACACGGCTGTTATAAAAATGGGTGAAAATTCGAAATTGTTTATGTTAAACCATAAATATTTAATGTCATTTGTCAATAAACCTCCAAAAATTTATCATTATCCAAATCATTTGACAAGTTTAGTAGACATAGTTAATTACTTGGCATAAATTACTTTTTTTAATAGAAAATATAAAAAATTAAATGGTGAATTTAAAATTTTTTTATTTATCACTTAATTTTTTTATTTTAGATGTCAACTGAAATGAAAACAACGGAGTTCAAGTTAGGTGAATCGTCAAAAGATTTGGCAGGTGAATCGTCAAAAGATTTGGTAGAATTGGAAGTCATAGAATTGGATAAGGGAATTCCAGTATTTGTAGTAGATTTAGAAAATGATATGCCAATCTTGAACAGGGCACTGACAGACAGGAAAAATGATATGCCAATCTTGAGAAAGTTACTGACAGATTGGAAAAGAGAAGATTTAACAAAAGAACAGTCCGACTTGGAAAAAAAGCTGCTAAACTTGGAGGACAGGCTGCCAATTTTAGAAAAAGAACAGCCAGAGATGAAAAAAACGCTGCCAATTTTGGAAAAAGAACTACCAGAGTTGGATGAAAGTGAGGTGAATTTCGCAATAAAAGAATTGGAAAAAGAAGCAAAAAATATTAACGAAAGAGATATGTATAATTTGGATGTAATAGAAGAGAGTATTGTAACATCAGCTAACAAACTGATTATCACTCTGAATGAATTATTGCAATCGGAAGACGAAATAATCATGAACAGGATACTCAAAAAAAACTGCTGATGTGGCAGGAAAAACAGTAATACAATTAGCTCAATCTGTGGATAAAGTTAATCAATTTTGAAAGAAATTTTTCCAAATATGATCTTGTTTGGAGAATCCATTAACAATTTCTCGGGGACCTTTGGATTAATGCAGCCGAGAGCTAAGGCAGCAGCGGTGAGTTAATCGCAAATGGGTTGTTCCTCTGAATAGGAATGTTAAAAATAACATACCTTCGAGCATATTGAAACGAAATAATTAACTATTTTGAATCCGAAATAATTAACTATTTTCATCTTAAAAAAGAGTTTTATAACATCTTTTGTAAAAGAAATTTTACGATAAATTTCAAAAAGGCCCTTCAACTCGCTATGCAGTCCTGTCTAGATAAACCAATACTCCAACTCTCACAAGAATACAAAAATCCAAACATCGAATGCCTTTGTCCAATGGAGAGCGCATCCATTATAGAACAATGGTGCGATTTCCAAGGCATCGACACACGAAATTTTGTTTTAAACACAATCAAAGTTATGGATAGGGCAGAAAAAAAACTGTTAGCCATTGCCTAGCTAGAACTGTTAGCCATTGTGGATTCAAATCTTTTGAATACTTCTCCAGCAGTGGACATGCTTTCANGTTATGGTATTCGTACAAATCTTTAAAGTTGAGCGCTTGTTGTTCGATCTATCAGTACGTTCAAGTTATCGTTTTTTGCTAAGGGGTGTTTACAAAAATGACTTGACACATTTTTCGCGAGACATACCCAACCGTTTGTAGAAAAGACGGATAGGGATGTTTTTAGATTGCAATTTAATCCTCCCGAAGGTAAGCAATAAGTGCCGGGCGACAATCTTTCGCTGTACAAAATCATTTCTTCATCGGGAAGAATATTTATTTTCTCATAATTTCCTTTGCAAAGGTGAGAACATTCACAATATTCATCTGTTCACTTGAAACCGTTGATGGGACAAAATAATTTATCGAAGGGATTATAGTATGTATCAACAATACGACTCGATTGATTTTTCATATTAAGTGAACCACTAAACATTTTTAAGAGGGTTGGTTTATAAAATAAATTAATTATTGTGACGACCAATACTTGTAACAAAACAAAGTAAATGAAGTTTATTCTCATAATTATATGTCTTTTATTATTGTTTTTTTCAGTTCGAAAGTTCACAATTTTTAATTGAAAGCAAAAAAAAAATGCTTTAGTCGTGTGGGGGGAAATTAAATCAAATAAGCATTTGTTGCATGTTTTTCCACACGACGAATACATATTGATTGATCAAAATGCAGTCTATCTATACGTGAACAAATATGATCAAAATACTTACTGTTATAAAAATACTGTTATAAAAATGGGTGAAAATTCTAAATTGTTTATGTTAAACCATAAATATTTAATGTCATTTGTCAATAAACCTCCAAAAATTTATCATTATCAAAATCATTTGACAAGTTTAGTAGACATAGTTAATTACTTTGCATAAATTACTTTTTTTAATAGAAAATATAAAAAATTAAATGGTGAATTTAAATTTTTTTTATTTATCACTCAATTTTTTTATTTTAGATGTCAACTGAAATGAAAACAACTGAGTTCAAGTTAGGTGAATCGTCAAAAGATTTGGCAGAATTGGAAGTCATAGAATTGGATAAGGGAATTCCAGTATTTGATGTAGTAGATTTAGAAAATGAAATGCCAATCTTGAAAAGGCAGTAATACAATTAGCTCAATCTGTGGATAAAGTTAATTTTGCTTTGAATATATTAGGAAGGACATCAGAATTACTGAAAACTGAATATGTGAGAAAGCCAAAGACTCTAAAGGCACCAAAACAAAAAACTTGTGCAAATTTCAAAAAAAACATATCCTTATGAAAAAAAAATTTAAATTTAAAAAGAAAATATCCTTACTAAAAACTTGTATACTTATAAAAAAACTTGTATACTTATAAAAAACTTGTATCCTTATAAAAAACTTGTATACTTAACATAAATAAAATTTGAAATGTCATTTTGTTTTTTAATATTTATTTAATAATCAATCATTCTGTTTTAATTACAAAAACATCAGGATAGCTTAACAAAACTTTTTCAATATCTTCTGTTAATTCTTGACTGAAATTCGTCTCACTCAAGTTGATTTTCATTTGTTGTCAATACCTCTTCATTCAATAAACGAACATCTTCCGCACTTTCTAATTAATTCGCACTTTAATTTTAACTGTTTAATGAATTTTTGTATTGTTTTTTTGATTAATTTTTCAGATTTTTTGCATCCTTGTAGTATGTCATTGTTAGATATATTACCTCCATCTAATAACTTTCTCATAAGTTGTAATGTCACTGTGGATGCGGATTCCCCCGAGAGATTTTTCAAACTCTTCTTTTAATGCATAAAATTTTTTATCACTGGATAAAACAACATAATTTCTAAAGGCAAAATTGTGAAAATCTAAAATATTTGTTACATTCATCAAGTTTCGTTCTTTCACTTTTTCTATTATTTGCTCTACATTGAAGTTGTATCGATACACATAATCTAGTTTAGCAAGATCTAAAGAAAATAAGAAATGCTGCGTGACATCATAAATAGTTTTGAGCAAACGCTCCATAATTTTAAATGCATTTTCAAAAATATAAAAGAGGGTAGTAAAAGTGTTTAAGTTCTGATTTGTTATTTATAACAATTTGATAAATGTTTTGAAAATTTCGATTGTTAAATTGGTGAAAGTACTCTTGTACTTGACAGCATCTAACGTTGTATATCATATTTTCATAAATATCCATTTATTAACTTTTTATTTTTAACTTTATTTATTTCGCAAAAGTATTTGAAGCACGATGCAAGGAACTTTATTTTAACTAAAAATTCAGGGAATAATCGGGTAAAATTACAAATTTTTAATAAAATGAAAGGAAAATTATTATTTTATACCTGGAAAATAACCAGTATTACAATTGTAAGTAACAGTAATCAGTTATTGAGATTAGAGTAAAATAATTAGAATATCTATTATAATTATTTTATAAAATTCCACTTTATAGTAAAATTTTTCCATGTTTCCATTCTTATTCTAATAATATGTTTTTGCTCACAAAATCTTATGTTTGACACTACAAATAAAACAAATCTAAGTTTTCTGGTGAAAAATTTCATGGTATAGCTAGCTAAAATATAGTATGGATTTTCGTTGTAACTTACCTGATATACCTGGAAAGTCAGGGAACCCTGATCCACATTTTCTGTATTACAACTATTCTATTATAATAATATATAATATTATATATTAATACAATCCTTATATTTTCTATCTTTCTGTATTAATGGTCTATTTTCAATGTTTGATAAGTTGTATCATCAATAATTTTAGTTTTAACAGTTAGACTACTCTTAATCTGTTTTGTGATTAAGTTATTAATATTAATAAAATTTTTATTTTAATGAAGTTTGTTATCCCTTCTGTCTTAAATATTAAGCTCCTTTTCTAAAATAAGTAAAGTAATATTTTAACATCTTGAGAAGAAATAATCAAATGAAGATATGTTATGTACAAAAACTATAATGTTAGACGTAGGAAGAAATTGAAAGAATTTTTAAGCAAAAAAAATTTTTTTTATATGATGCAGAAAAAGTATTTTTAAGAATTTTCTTACCTTTTTTTCTCTGAAATCCTTTTTTACTTTCTTTCATTTTTTTTTCTCAGATAAGATTCCTCTCAGCTGTTTGAATATTCACTATGTATTATCAAAGATTAACAGGGTTCCCACTTAATTTCAGAAAGAAAAAAAATTCCCTGACTTCCATGTATGTCAGGTTAATTTCAATAAAAATAATCAATTCAATAATTGTAACATTTTATCTATACCTAGCAACTTTTCATCAGAAAACCTTGATTTTTTTTAAAATTAGTAATGTCAAATATTAGATTTTCTGAACAAAAACATGTACCTAATAGAATAAGAATGGAAACATGGATAAGCTTCAATAAAAAGTAAAATTTTTTAAAATAATTTTAGTAGATGTTAGAATCATTTAACTCCAATTTCAATAACTGATTATTCTTACTGACAATTTTAAGACTGGTTATTTTCCAGATATGATATACGAATTTTTCCAGTTTTTTATTTTTTTGTAAAAGATTAAAACTTTTCCTGCTTTTTAGAGTAGAAATAAAATTCCCAGACATGTGGGAGCCCTGTTATAAATATCTAACATCCTTTATTTTTTAAATTGCTTTGAACATAATAATGTTATAAAATAAATCTTTTTAGGTTTGACTCATGAGTCACTTTACTATTAACATTTTAATAACCAGAATTTTCATTCTAATTTTGTCTTTTAAAAGTTTTCTTCATTTAATTAATATTTTATTTCTTTTGCTTTGCCACCTATCAAAAAGAAAATTCATTCTTTCTTTATAGTTGGAGAATTAGAACAAAAGAGACAATTTTCTTATTTGAGTATAAGACATTCACCAATATTCAAAACATTATATTCATGCAAAATTTACTAAATCTTGAAATCTTTCAGATATACATTATTTAAACTTAAAATAATGTCTTTTTTTTTTCATTTTAAATTTCTTATATCTCACTATTTGCTTTATTATTCATAAATTAAACTTCATAGCTGTATGTTTAGTTCTTAAAGATAAATAAATGTAACACTCATATATGAGCTTAGGTTTATTTATGAATTATTCATTTGTTTAAAGCTAAACATATAATATAGTATACTACTTGCAAACGGTAGAATTTTTGTATGTCATGTATTATTAATAGTGAAACTGCAATATTAAAATACAATAAACAAATTTTATGCTAGTATAAGCGAAATAACTTACCATCTGCTGACTAAATCGTGTAACGAAAACAAAAGCAGCTCTGCATTAACACTTATTTTATTAACTAACTTATCACAATATAAAAGAACATCATGAAATTAAAGTGAATAATATTCACATACTTAATTATAAAAAATAATACACACTATGAAGTTCATGAAAAAGTTCAATAAATTATAAACATAAAATTTTCACCAATTGATAAAGAGTTCATGAAAAATGTCACTTGGAAAAGTCTTAATTTTGTGCATCAGATGTTTCTACTGCTGCTGCAGCAGCAGCCTGATCCTGAATCTGTTGCTGTTGTTTCTGCGCCTCTTCAACAGCAGCTGGCTGTTGAATGATAATAGGAACTACTCTCTCATTTTTAGGCGGTGGTAATTGCTTTCTTGGTGCTTGGATAGATAAAACTCCATCTTGACTCAATGACGAAGTTATAGTATCAGGCTCCACATCATCCGGTAGTAGGTATCGGCGAGTAAATTCCCTGGATACTAAACCATGCTCGTCAGCCTGTTCTTCATGTTTGCCGTGAATAACAACGAAATTGTCAACAGTCTTTACATCAATTTCATCAGGCCTGAAATGTTTGACGTTTAGCATTACTTGAAATTTGTTTCCTTCGCTTCGGCACTCCCCTGAAGAACTACTAGTTTGTCGTCGGGGTCGGAAAATATTTAAATGAACATGAGGATGTTCATAAGCTCCTTGCCGGCCTAGATCATAAGAATCATCCAATAGTCCTAACACAACTCTTGGATCAATTGAGTGCGAGTGCCGGGATTCGTAAGGATCATAAGCATCACGTAAAAGTCTAGCGAACATTTTCTTTTAATTTGTTGTAGACAAGAAGTAAACCACAGAAATAGTCTTTGATGATAATAATTTTAGAAGGCAATAAGTTTTTTTAAGTTCACCAATAAAACAGTTCCAGTTCAAAAAATGTCAATAAAAAACACAATTGCTGCAATGTATATTATCTTCGTAGCCAAAAAGCTTTTAGCGTTGAATAGCACAAGGGTAGATAATAAACAAACAATACTCTGCTAGTACAGTTCACGAATTAGTAGATTCAACGACTGAATTGATAGGGAGGTCAGGATTTCTGGGAATATATATAGATGAACAGTTTTCCGGAGTTTTCTAGATGCGCCTAGAAAATTCTGAATTGCACGAGAACGCGCTCTGTTTTGATTGCGTTCTAGGGTTACTGGAGCTAACGTTTTCTCCTCATGAGTAATTGGCGAAGCTAATAAGAGCCAAATAAGCTCTAGTCAACAGTTATTGTAATCTTTGAGAGGGATAGTTTTTGTTTCATTTTACTGTTTACTTTCCAACTTTTAACTGATAAATTCGAGGAACTTCTTCGGTTCTTATGAAAAATGCTCTGAGAAAATAAGTGCGAGTTGAAAATTTATTCTTAAGAAATATACTCTCTTTATTAAAAAGCCAAGTTACTCGATGCAAATTACTTTTTAAGAGTAAAATTTTCGGATTAAAATAGGGAACCCGAATTTTAATTGGGATAAAATTTAATTTTTTTATTTTTATTAATTTAAAACAGAAAATTGAAAAAAATTTTGTTCTCCTATAATTGTCTCTCGTGTTTAGTGCACTAAGAAAGAAAAAATAAATAAATAAATAGAAATAACTGCTGATCAATGATCGGATTAGCCCGAACTAAATTGCAATTTTAGTCGTTCGAGGAGTAATTCTTAAATTGCTCTTCGAAAATTCTTAAATGTGCAAATTACTTAGTGCAGATGACATTTTAAAACGTTTCCCTCGGAAAAAGAGAACACTTATCCTTTTGAAAAAATAAAAATAAACACTAGCTTTCCGCGATCGTAGCAAAATATAAAAATGTGATATTAAAGCTACTTTTTCTCAATCTAACTCATTAGTTTATTACCAATTATATAATTTAACTAATTATAATTTCGAAGTTGTATATTCAGTACTACAATAGTTTGGCGAAAGAAAAAGTTATAATTACAGCGACAAGTTTATGATAGCTTTGATAAAATTTCGCCTATCACTTCTTTAAATTTTAATCTAAAACAGCTGCATGGTGGTTTTTGGAACATAAATATACAAGTTTCCCGCATGCAGTGTTTAAGTTACACAGAATCAGACACAAAAACACACATCTCTGAATAAATTAATAAGGAAAGAAAAAGATGCATGACTTCTACTTATTTAGTAAAAATAAATTTTTGTGCTTGATATCATTATTCTATAATTTTATATCTATTTTTTTAATGAGGTGTTAATTTCATTCTTTTGTTAATGTTAAATTCATTCTTTTTGTGTCTTGCCATAACACTGCAACTATCAATAAAATGAACTTTTTTTGTCCATAATTATAAAACTCGTTCATCTAAAAATAATTCCGCGAAAAAAATAATTTGTTACTAAGATTAATTTTTTTAACTATTTAATTTGGTTGTTTTCTAATTGTTTATTTAAACAATTCTTCAATTGTTTATTTAACAAATCTCCAAAACCAGTTGCTTTTGCGGTTTCATTTTCGATATACATTATTGTAATTTGCATCAATCTGTCGTCATTTTGTAAAAAATTATTTTAAAAATGAAAAGTTTTGTCGTCGACTGTCGAGAAGCGTTTTATAGGTTTACTGAAATTTTTATACGTTTATAAACTCATTCATTCATCCGACTATTCACTAAAATGTCTTTCAGTAATTCGCCCATAAATAGAAATTCACTGCTATTTATTGCTGACTTGTATTTATTCACTGATCCATTGATTGTTATCCTTTCATCTCCCATTATTATTTTATTCACTCGCTGTATCTAGAATTGTTCATGATAACAGTTTTTATGACGAAGTGCCAACGTACTTGTAATAAATTGTCTACCAAACATACTAGCATATTGAAAATAACCGTTTAAAATAAATTAAAAATGACCTCGATTAAAACACATTATTAAAAGAACCGATAGTCGTATTAGTAACATTAAAATATTAAATAATTATTCCTATTAAATAACTTATGGAAAAGAATAGATAATCTCTACACAGACTAATATTGGTATATAAAACTATATATAAAAATAAATAAATAAAAACCTCCTCACGACGTTAAATATAATAATCAACGCTTAGATAAAACAGATGAATAAAGAAGTTATCGAGCCAGCTATTAGCAAATATTTTGAAAGAGAAAAAAAGTCTAGTTATGCAGGGCCATTTCGCGGGCCCTGTATATGCGTATATCATGAAAATTGAGGGTTTAAAATTTGATTGACGTTAGATCAAAAATGTTATCAAAATTTGACGATTCATTATTGTTTGATTGCCAGATAATATTTTAAAATGGATGTTTATTTATTTGTTATATATATATTCTAACTTTTAATTAGCCTAAATGGCCAATCGAGAAGTAATTATAATGTATTACGGTATAGAAGAAGAAGAAAGAAAAGAAGAAAAAAATTTAACTAAGAAATACAGGCTACTAAACTTATTTGTAATTTATTTTTAAATTAGATTCCCCGAATACAGTTACACTAATATACTGTTACAAAAATTCTAATACACTGAATTGCTTCTTCAGTCATTAACTATTATTACTTAATTATTGACTTGATAGAAAAATATGGAATAACGCTTGTTAGATCAATAAAATCAAAATTTAAGTATAGTTCCGAAAAAAGAAAACATTTAGTCTGATTATTAAAAGCACGAAGTCTTAATAATTCTTTTGAAATTTATTATAAATAACGGTCTTAATCATGCGCAAAGTAAGCTTCAGAAAATAAACGGGCAGAATAATAAAAAAAATATAACAAAAATTAAAAATATAGTTTTAGGGACAAAATATTTATAACATGCTTTCAAATTAAAAGTAAACAATCTTAAAAAAAATTAAATAAAAAACGCGAATGAATTCTATTAGTTTTCTAAATTTTATATTTACATTTAATTTGAATTCAAAATAAATCTAAAATAATTGGCTTTAAGTACCTTTTAAAAAATTTAAATAACGTAATACTGTTTTTTTCTTATTGTTTCCAGGGCCGAAAATAATAAATAAATAAAAATTAAGTACCAATTATAAGCTTGAATAGGATTCTTCCATGTGCGTTTTCCAATAATAACGTTTACTTATAAAATTTCAAGCAATTAAAGCGTACTCGTAAATCCTTTATTCTTAATAATAATGACATTAATTCTTAATAGTAATGAATATGAGTAGTTATAGTAATGAATTTATATTTNAAATTTTATAAATAAGAACAAAAGAAGCTGAAATATTGCACTTTTGATTTATTTTGTAGTCAAAATTTTGATTTTAAAAAGCGGCGGCATTGATTTTATTAAAGGATGCCTTTAACACGTATTAATATTGTAACGATTCGGTTCTTGCCGATTTGATTTTATAAAGCGGCTGATTTTATTATCCAGTGATTTTATTAGCGGCGGGCACTGTACAAATTATAAGCTTGAATAGGATTCTTCCATATGTGTTTTCCAGTAATAACGTTTACTTATTAAAATTTCAAGCAATCAAATTTAAAAAATTAAAGTTTACTTGTAAATCATTTATTCTTAATAATAATGATATTAATTCTTAATAGTAATGAATATAAGTAGTTATAGTAATGAATTTATATCTAATTCAAAATACAAGGAAAACAGGGCAAAAAGTATTTCTCTGAGGGAATATAGTCAGTACATTGGCAATTTACAGAGAAATATTTTATCACTACTATCAATATTAAAACTTAAAATAAGCAATTTATAAATAATTAAGACTTTAGGTACAAATAAACAAGCTAATTTCGTTTAAATTATAGAACAAAATACATCATTTGGCGATATAAATTTTAATATTGAGCTAGATTCAAAGCTACGCCAAAAACATTCATAACATGCCAATTATAGCAACCAACACGAAGAAAACTTGCATAATATGACAGTTACTATGGAAACATCCAGCTGCTCGGAGAAAATTCTAGATACCGGCTTGATGATTTAAAAAGAGCCGAAGCGCTCATCGTAGTCTAATCCCGTTGTTACCTTACTGGAGTTGCTCTCTATAGCCTATTGTTGAGCGTTTATTAAACAAGTGTGTTTAGCTGCAGTTATTATCTCACGAAGCGCATTTCATTGAAATTAGTGAGAGTATTTTTATTATTTGATTCAAAATGTTTTCCATGCTGCCATTGATGTCACGAAATTCCTGGTGGGATGCCTGGGATTATCCATCAACTTTACAAGACCAGAATTTTGGAATGGGTCTGCTAGATTCGGATCTTCTACCACCTCGTTTATATCGTGGATATGTTCTTCGTCCTCGTACTCAGGGAAACCTCGATTCGTCTGGACAGTCTGAAGTAAAGAACGAAAAAGATAAATTCCAAGTAATGTTGAATGTCAGCCACTTTAAGCCAGAGGAGATCGACGTCAAAACAGTGGACAACACCATCGTCATCCATGGTAAACACGAGGAGAAATCTGATGAACATGGCTTTATATCCAGAGAATTTACCCGACGTTACATGTTGCCAGAGGGCACCGAACCAGAGACTGTGAAATCTACCCTTACTCCTAATGGTGTTTTGATGATTGAGGCTCCTAAGAAAGCTATTGAACCACCTCCTAGTAATGAACGTGTTGTGCCTATTAGTATTCAGAAACCTGAAGCCAATTAGTGACTCTAAACTGTTATGAACTTTTTCATTTTTAAATAATTCATCAGTAAGTGACTTTTCATTTTTCTGTTGTGTCAAGTTATTTGGAAGACTTTATTTGATTAATTTCATATTTGATTTAAAAAAAACTTATAGCATTAGTATTAATTTGTCTTAAAAGTATTTGGTGCTTTGTTGATTAAAGCTGCTAAATGAACCATTGCCAGTAAATTGTGTTGAATAATATGCAAAATTTTGTGACCTCATTGACTGAATTCTGGAAACTCTTTAATACTGTTCTTTGATGAATTATAATTTTTCTAATCAATAGCTATTTCAGTATATGTATGTTTTGTTTTCACGTGAGCATTTTCTTATCAGCTGTTCGTTTCACATTTTATGTATAACTTTGTCTACTAATAAATGTTTACTAACTAGAATTGTGTTATGTGATTAATTTTGTATAGTATTTTAATTTTAAATTCTGACTTGCATTTTAAATACAGTATATCAATTTAAGAAAACTATTATTGTTTTCAGTTATGAAATTTGCGTTAGTAGTGTTTTTTTTAAATACAAAAACTTTGCAAGTATTAGAAAATTAAAGGTAAGTTAAACTAAGGTTCTCTTTTTATGTAGATAAATATATGTGTACATAAAGTTGATTAGAAATATTTTAGTACATAAGCATTACTTCCTTTCTATTTTACATAAAATATCAATTCGGGTGATATTTTGTAACGAAACATTGATGAACTTTAATTTTTTTTACTGTTTTTTTGTTAATATTACTTTACTTTTTAAATCATAAAAAATATCTTTTTAAAATAAACTTTTAATTTTTTATTAACATTTTTTTTAATTATTTATTTTAAACTGTTTAAGGAATTTTAAAGCATTTGGTAACTTGAGTGTTTGTATGATGAGCCTTTTTAAAATTTAATTTTCAATAGAAAAATCAGAAAAGTAAAAATACCATTATATATTGTGTTTATAGCATATTATTTGAATTATTTAACAGATATAATTTGATTAAAGAATACCTTTTAAAATAAATTCCATTAAAAACACAATAATAAAATAAAATAACATATTAAAGGGATTGATTTTATGCATAAAAATATTTAGTAGGATGGATGTTCGTTCATTATAATTTAAAATTTCAATAAAATATTTGTAGATTATGAAATTCTTTCTTTATTCTATCTTCCTTTTTAAGATTGGTAGAAGGTACAAGAAGTTTCATGAAAGTGTGGCTAGCTGAAGGCTGTTTGCTGTGTTTTGAGACAATAAAATCATGAGTAATAATTGCATTTTTTAACTTAATAATTTTTTTATCATTATTTAAAATATTTTTTATAAGTATTTAGCAGGATTAAAATGATAATCTAAAAATTTTTTCAAAAAGATTTGCTAATTATCAAAAATGACCCTAAAATGAAAATAAATTCTTTAGAAAGATTTTGGAAGCCTGTTTTATCTTGATTTCCTTTTTAAAAAATTGTAATTTGTACTTATAAATTTAGAAAAAAGAAATGTAATTAAAATATGTAATTTATAAATTAAATGTAAGTAAATACCAGGTAGAACACTAAATAAGAGTTCATTAATTTTTACATAAAATATGCAAAAGTATTAGAATTTCATTGCTTTATGAAATCGTTTTCTTTAAATTAAAAAATTGTCTATTATCTAAGAGCGACTTCTTATATATTTTGAAAAACTGAACAGGGTAAGCACTTGTTATTGAAAGATATTTAAAATGAGAAATATTATTCAAAATAAAATATTAAAAAAAGGATAAAGTCTCAGTGAAAAAAACGTCAAAAATGAAATAGTGATGAATGCTCCATATAGGAAACAGTTATCATCATCAAATAGTTATCATCATTATTTTTAAACAGTCAAAACTGCATTTATCATCATCATCCCAGCCTTGGTAATTAGTATAAAAAGACAATTTATTAACAGTATTTCTCATTAATTGCTCTGGCTTTTCATGAACTTGGTTTCTTAATTTACACTATCTAGGTCAAAAAATCTAGAAGCATAAATTTAATGAGATAATATTGTGTAATTGCTATAAGACATAACAATAAAATCGTGTCATTATGTAATGTAATAACATGATTATAAAAATTTTGTGCTTTATAACTATATTTTAATCTGAAATTCAATTCTCAATAACATTGTGCTGTGACACTTGTTGCAAAAAGTTTCTTGTCCGCCATTTGTAAGTTCAGAAAGCTTTTTTATTCACAACTTTAAAAGTAAGGCAAATATGTGTATATTACAAATTTTAAGATATACTTTAAAAGAGAATTAGGTGTATTTTACTGGGAAAAAAAATTTATCATAAGAATTGGTTAATTTGTCAAATTTTTTTTCATTCAAAATTTGAGAATCCGATTTGTAATGCAGCTTAAATACATTTTTATTTGATTTGTTATAAGCAATTTGTGATGTAAACATGTAATTCACGAAATAGTTTTTGACAGCGTTTTGTTTTTAGGATCTATGCAACTTGTTGTCTCTCGGAAGAAAAACTAGACTTTTCAATAATGGTACTTACTAGACTTTTCAATAATGCACTTAAGTAGTAATTATGTTTTTGTACATTAACAAGTTCACTATTTGCACAGCAAAAATAGAGTTATGATTTTTAATCATATAGTAAATTTTAAATCACTGTGGTAAAATTTAACATTTTAAATTCTTAAATATTTATATCCTTGATATAAAATGTTATATTTTTCTTAAATCTTGAAAAACTATCTTCTTAGTAGGGAATTTGCAAGATATTCTTTCTAGACTTGTCTTCTTTTTTTAAATAGAAAATTTACTTTGCTTTTAGTGAGAACATTACTGTTGATTTTTCAAAAGATTGGTCTTATTACAATTATATAGACATTCAAAAACATGTTCTTAACAGTATAAGTACTAGAAGCAAAACTCATTAAAATAATAAAAATATTACATGTCTTATATTGATCGAAAGAAAACAGCTTTGCATTACACTACAGATAAATAATTATTTAACTAATGTTGTATGCCAAGACTAGCACACAAGACTGTTTTTATTGGGTTTATAAATTTTGAGCCATTTTTCTTTCTTTTTTAACTCCTTCTCAGTTTTTTTAAATGCACTAGAAACCACCAGAGTGTAACAAATTGTTACTGCTTTTAGTAAATGTATTATAAATGAAAATGGTAAAATATTTTGTGTATAAAAGCTAAGCGCACTTATCTTATTTATTACTACATCAATTATTTCAAAACATGTTTGAAATGAAACCAACAATTTATTTTTCAAAGCATACAAAATAATATAACATAATTTTTAAACACAATGCGATTTATATTGTAGTTCACTTAAAATAGAGTTTTTTTAGAGAAACATTTTAGTTCTGTATTGTTAGTGGTTCGATGCTTTTGGTTTTGTTTTAATCGTTTACGTTTCCGACTGCTTAGTTTTGTCCCAGACTGCTTTGTCTTAAATGATGTATTCTCTTTTTATTAATCATGATGCCAGATTCTAAAGTAAATAGCAAATTGATTAAAATTGAAATACAAACTAAAAATGCCGATTCTTATTCTTCTAAAATATAAGAATTAAAATGTTAATTATTTAGGAATTTGAATAGCTAACTTCTTTCAAGCTTGAAATTATATGTTAATATCGTATCAATAGTACTCAAGTCAGCTCAGCTTCGAATATGGATCAAAAATTTCGATCCTGTCTTGCAATCATTTCCGAGAAAACTAAAAACATTTTTATAATTTTCTAAATTCTCAGTAGCGACTGACAGCTAGTATTTGATCCAGATGATGAGCAGTAATATTGATTCTGATGTATTGTATATTCAGTGAGAAAGCTGTTTCGAGATTTTGTACTATGATTTGTTCAAATTTATCATTTGCGAAATTAGTTTCGTATTTTTTATAAAATATATTTATGGTTGTGTTTTCTTCGTAAAACATTCCTACTTGATTACAATCCGAATCCGACTTAACGATGGGATTTTCAACAGATCTTCAAGACGTTTTTTCACATGAAGCTTTAGTAGGATTACAAGATGCTGAATTAAAACTCTTAGATAATATGAAAAAATGTGTGTTGCTTCGTGCTAAATGTGACCGTGATTATGCTGCAGCTTTATCTTTAGTTAGTGCTCAGGCTTTAAAGATGGACCACTCTAAAGAATTAGAAGGCAGCTTTATTGCTAGCGTAAGCCAAATAATTTTTTGATAAAGTTGATTGCCAAATTAGAGCGACCCCGTTATTTGAGCAATTTTTAATGTACTCATTAAAAACTGGGAAAAATATTCAAAAGTGTGTTTTTCTAATGATAAGAAATTGCCATAAATATAGTAAATAAATGAACAAAAGGACGATTACACATACATTCAAAACTGCCAAGTTACACTGTCCAATCTAAAGGATATTAAAAATTCAAACTATTATTATGTTTGAATTTTTAACAATTTGTTTAAATGTTTTTTTTTTATTCATCATGTTAACGATACAGTAGTTTTGGTTTTAAGTAATTTGTTTAAAAGTTATTTTACACAGTACTAAGATGGTATCAAATAGTTTTTTCTTAAATAAAAGATACTTTTATAAAAAAAAAGTTCAAATATAAAATTATTAATCAGCTGAAATTTTCAATAAATTAATGGTATGATTAGAAGCAAAGTAATAAAATTAAAAAAAACTTTTTTTTTTTAATTGTTTAATAAACACTTGTAAATAAAAACTTTTAATGGGTGAAAAAAATTTACATTTAAAAGAGGTCGGTGAACCAAAATATATTGGAAATATAATAGATACAGCCAGGGTTCCTTTACTGAAAACAGGTTTTGGGATGGAAAGGGGGGAGAATTGGACTCATAATAAAATTTTCATAAGCTTTTTTGCTACTTTGAAACAAATATTTAATTCAGTTATTAAGTAGGATAAAAAAAATGCAAATTTTATGAATTGTAAAATCTTAAAGCTGTCTTTTACTTTGTCAGACCAACACTAATTATTAAATGATTTTCATTTAGCTTAACATTTTGATTTTCTTTTTTAATTTCTGTAACTGGTAAGTACTAATGCTCATACATACATCTTGGAGTTACAATTGATTTAGCTCCATGCTTTTCCTTTACAGGTTAGTGATTTAAAAAAAAATGTTTTAAGGATAAATTCCCTTGTTTAAATATCAAAGACCGACCGTTAGAACGAAAATTTAACCTTTATCTAACGTATATCTCAGGCTTAGATTAAAGCTCTTCGAGTTTGGATATTTAAAAGCGAGCCCAAACCCATCTCTAGAACCTATGAGTTAGAGTATTGAATAGTATCCCTTTTAGGGATATCTAAAAAAAAAATCATCTCTAAAAATTCCAAATGTTTACACTTATTGTGTAAAACATCAAGCAAAGTGATAATTTTTCTCCCGAATTAGTTAGTAATAATTTTTCTCATTAAATTTCTGAATTACTGCGTTGATAATGTAATTTATGCAGAATTTTAAAGAACTAATTTGTATTAGTCTTTTGATACAAAAAATAAATATATAAATTTTAAAGTGTTCGTGATGTTTAAAAAAGTTTCTTTTGCATGTAAGTTTTTACACATCCTCTAAAAAATCTTAACTGCACCCTTAGAAACATAACGCTCATTGGGAAGGGGGTAGGAAGTGCTCACCTATGCTCTAACCATAAAACCTATGCTCTAACCATTTTTTTTTTTACTAAGTGTGCTTAATGACTTTTATTTAAATTTTATATAGATGTGATGTGTGTGTTGCATTGGTAAAAAATATTTCCCGTTACATCTGCTCTATTCCTCTTGGGAAAGTGGGCATTTTATTCTTCAGGTAAACATGGTTCAAGTTTCCATTTTCTTTAACGTCATACTTTTATCACATTAGGTTATGTAGTACCCTTCTTTTTTGCACCTTATAACTCATTTCTCATCTTTATGAATTTTAAATCGCTTTGTATTCAACTCACCTCATTGTGTTCTGTCATTTACTTATTCTAAGAATAGACTTCTCTTATTAATTATTAAACCTGTTATGATAGGGTTGAATTTTTCTGTCATACATATAATAAGAAACAGCTTATAGACAAAAGAATTCTTTACCGGTACCTGCACCAAAATAATAGCCATGTTTTGGTGACTTCTGAGCTGTAGCACTAAAAAAATTTGCAGAAAGTAGCCAAAAACCCTTTGGTGCCTTTGTAATTGCATTTGGCGTGTAAAGGTATCAATATGAAAATTTCCTCCATCTGTTTAATTTTAACTATATTAAAATAATTGTTAATTTATTTAGAAAAATTATCATAATTTATTTCCCTTTTATTGTCTTTTTATTTTGTTCTATTGCATTTTTTGAGCATATTTTTATGATATTTTTAACAATTGCTACGTTTATAATTTAGGCCTGGTATGCTATATCTGAAGAAATGGAAACAACTAGCAAAATAATCCGAAGAAATGCTGATAGCTTGACTTCTGCTACAGTTGAATCTATTAACAGTTTAATATCAGAAAAACGAGCCCTCAAAAAAATTTATGTAGAGGAGCATGATACTTTGCATAAAGAGTTAGCTAGAGTAAGCTTTTTCTTTTGTTTATTTTTTTTTTAAGTATTCAAAATGAAGTTTGGTATTTTTTTCTTAAATTATTCTAATTTGTGTCAGGCAACTAAGAATGAACATTTGTAAGAAACATATACTACTTTTTTCTTGCATGTCAAAATGTTTTTAGAAATGTACAGAGTTAACTTTATGATATCAAAAAATGGTTGATGCATGACAAGCATTAGAAAACTGGTTTAAGTTGTTAAAAATCAACCGTAATAAGTATTTAAACAGGAAGGATTTGCTATCAAGCTTATTTTTGCTCTTTGGAAATGGTGTAAGAAAATTTTTTTGAGTTGGCCATGGTCCTTTAGTCTTAAATGACTCATGTCATCATCCTTCATTAAGCCTCAATAACTAATATAAAGAGTAATTATAGGTCTAATTATTTTTCCTTTTTGTTATTTGAAACTGAAATTGAGGAATCAAATAATTCTAGGAGGGACCAAGCCCATTTGGGGTCAGACTTAATTACTTCAATATAAGGAAAAATCTTTGCCTTAAGTGCTGCTAAAGGGGACATCTTTTAAATGTCTAAGTACACTAATATAAATCTTTTCAATATTTAGTTATTTCAGTCTTATATTTTTTAAATAAAATATCTTCCCAGCTAATGTGTATTGTACTTTAAACAATACAATTAATCATCTTTTTTATAGTTTCAATATTTACTTGTGCTGATCAATTTATTTTATTAGTTTTCATTTTATTAATTTTTTAATTATATATTTTAGTTGCAAAATGCTGTAGATTCCATGAAAACTGAATATGAGAAATTGTTGGAAATGTGGAAAGAGGCTAAAGCAAAATATGAAGAACATTACATAAAAGGTAAATAAATATTTGTGCAGTGAAACCTCTTGGGAGCGACCACTCTCCATTCCACAGTAAAATAATCGTGATGGAGGTTGATCATTCTTAGAGGTTACCTGCGTTAGTTTAATTGTTATCGAAGGGACATGATTCTTCACAACTGATTTTAATTAGTGTTATTTTCTTGGAGTGGAAATGCTACATGGAGTTGGTGTCATGAAAAAACAAGTCTATGAATTAAATTTAGCTCTATAAAAATAATCCCTACTGATATAATTATTTACAAAAACAAATTTATCAATTATTAAGGATAAAACTATTTTTTTTTAAATACTTTTTTTTAAATTTAACTTTCAGCTCAGTACGGGTTTCCCTATATTTCGTTGTTCGTCGCGTTGATGAATTCACTTATGATGATATAAGAAACAAATTTTCAGCTGCAACTTTTTATTAAGTCATTTAAGCAGCATAGAACAATTACACACATAATGGACAAATAAAATTGCACCCGACAAAACTACCAGACAGTCATCAAGTCCAAGATAGATGTGAAATAGTTCAGTTTTCTGTTCTAAAAGTGTATTCTTTTTAGAGGGTATACGCCATCTATTGGCAATGATTCTTACAAGCTCTAAAAGTAAATCATTATTAGCATCGTCTTTAGCACACTCTGATTGCAGTATGAGGTTCTGTTGTCAAAAAGAGCTATAAATAAGAATCTCACACAAATATTTAAAATACATTTTTATCTATTTATTTGTTTTGTTAGTTTTTTTGTTTTGGTATTTTTCGTGTTTCTTTATTTGACCTTTTCCACATTTCGTGCCCGATCGTTGGGAGAGTTTTAATGGTCTCTCCTAAAGATTTTCTTCAACACTAACTCTATGGAAAATATTCTGTGTCTCCCAAGAGTGGTCACTATATAGTAGTGGTCTTACCTGGAGTTTTCACTGAATTTATTTTTCCTATATAAAATTTTTACATGTTAAACAGTATAATTTATTCTTTTTCATTTTTTTCCTCCATATATTTAAGAGAAAAATATTTGTTTTCCTAAATCATTGTAATGTGAAATTCGTAGGTAAAGGAGCAAAAAAAGTGGAAGAGGCAAAAGAGCGTTATCAGAAAGTTGCGAAAAAACTTCATGTCTTGCACAATGATTTGGTTCTTACTCTTTGTGAAGCATCAGAATATGAAAGACATTTTCGGACAACTTTGTTGCCTGGACTTTTGTATTATCAACAGATTGTAATGGAAGATTCAGCTGAAACATGGTATGCATTTTCTAGTTCAGCCTTCTGTTATTATCCTATCAGCTTTCTACTATTTTTCTATTATAATTTGTCTCTATATTTAAACTAAAACAGTTGCTCAAGTTGTTATAAGTCAATACTCATGTTTAAATATTTTTAAAAGCAAAAATAATTATTTAAATTTTTTTTTATTAATATTTATTCTACACAAAAAAGAATGAATGGTTTTTGTTAGTATTGCTATTTTTATTTGTAAAACATAAAAGAAAATTTTCTCTTGTTTAAAAATCTTTTCTGAAGATAAATGGTTTTAATTATTGTTTTTTTTTTCATTTGTTTAAAGTTTATTATCTTCATTTAGTAACTTTATTTAACACATATAATATAGTGCAATGATAAACTTATTTGAGTTATTGCCATAATTTTTTGTTTTAAATTTATATTGCTTATTGTATTTTTCACCCACTTATTTTCCATAATAAAAATTACTCAACAATAATATGTTAATGAACGTCATAATGTTGAGGATTTTTAATAGTTTCTTTATGGTTCTTTAATTTTAGTTTCGTCTAAATAATAATTAATCTTAAAATTTAATCTGCATCTTTAGATTAAAAAAATATATTTAAAAATAAAGTTATTTATTTTTAAATTAATTCTTTATATAGTGTCAAATTATATTATCATATTATTGCAACATTAATATTTTTTAAATTTTTTTTTCTTTATTTATATTATTTATTAACTCCCTAATGCTTAAACTGTCTATTCGTTTTAGTTCAGCAATGGCAAACTCTTCTATTAATATGTATCGTTCTGATTTTTATTACGTTTTAAAAACTGATACGTACTTCTGAGAATTTACTAAGTATTGTATTTAAATATATTTAATAAAATATGTTTTAATTTGTATTTAGGAAATCCATTTTGCAGGAGTTTTTTGAAATCATCAATCCTATCTCTGAACAAATGCAGGCAGTTCATTCTCGAATGAGCAAAAGCATTGAAGTGATTGATAGTATTGATGAATATAATGACTTCATTCGCAAAAATCGGTGAGCATTCCTCATGTATTTTAAGTCAAATTGTTTATTACCTCAACATTAAGAGCAAGACAATTTGTTTGTTAAACCTGTGTTTACTTAAAATTATTAAAAATAAGTGTTATAATGCACCATAATAATATATAAAATGTTTAAAAATGGCTTACTTTTAATATTTTATTTACATTGAAGGGAAAAAATTATTTTTATTAGTGATTTAACTTTTTGCCTTTCAGTAATTATTCAATGTGCATTATCATATGTACAATTTTCTTATTATGAACGATGTGTGTAAATAAAATCTCTGCTCCTCCAAAAATCAGGCACATGATTAAAAAATAACTGGGCAAGTGTGTATGTGTCTTGCAGATGTATCTTGTGCATGAGCTATAGCAGATAGAATTCATTCAATGGTTTTAGAGGGACAACTTCTGTTAACCATTGCAATGAATGCTAATTTTTATTTTCTCTGTTGGTTTACCAGTTCTAGCCTCAAAATTTTAATTGGTTATGTGATTCATTGCTAAAAGATAAGGGAACTCACTTAACAATTCTATTGTACATTTTGATCTAACAAAGGGTTTTTTAAGCTTTTACAAAGGTAATGTAATGTCTTTGAATAGTTGGGTACACTTGTATTTTACTGTTTCAATATAATTATTAAGAAGTTGTTGAAAAATTCCTCTTAAAATCCAAATTATGCTCTTAATAACAGAGTTTAATATTTGTCACAAATTTCTAAGGTGTAAAATTTAGAGGTTTTGTTTAAACGCAATAAACATGTTCCACTGTATATTTTTTTCTGTTTTTATTTAACTTGAAATTAATTTTTAAAAATGATTATACTTTAAATTTGTGACATATTTTTAGGTCTGATCCTCTTCCATCAATAGAGTTCAGGTATGATGCTTCCCTTTTAAGAGAGATTACAGGACCATTAAGACCTAATGAATTGATTGCTGATGATTATACTATAGAGTGCCTTCGTGACAAGTAAGTTTTCTTCATCATATGTTCATTTATTTTGTTGTTATTATTTTTAAGTTTATTATATTTTCTAAAATGAGCACTAAGTTTTGGCAAAAATGTGTTGATGACATGCAAAAAACTAGAAAGCATCACCGAAAGGGACAAATGTTAAATTGGTATTTTTAGCCACCTCCAAGCCTGCAACTACCTATTTTTTTATAAAAATTTATTGCAAGTGTAGAAATTGGGTTGTGGCACTTTGATACCTTAGCTATTGTACAGTCTCAATTTGATGCTAGAATGTCCTCAGTAAGGATAAATATTTTGGACAGATACATCAGTACCCAGCTAGAGGAAAAGAACTGAATTAGTGATTAAAAGTAAATTTATTTATTTTTTTATAATTTTTTTTAGCAGACTTTAATTTTGTAATCAATGTTTTTTACAATAAAAAAAGTTGTAGAGATCTTTGTATTTTTGAACGTTATTTTTTTATTCAGGAATGGTATTTATAGATACTTTGTCACATTTTTAATTGATGATTTTTTTTTTAAATCCAAAACTTTAGTTAGGAGGTTTTTAAATTTTGTCAGCAATTTTTTATTGCAAAATTATAATAATACATAATGCTCAATATTTTCTATGTAACGAATGTTCAATTTATGTTAAAGTAAATATAATTTTACAATAGTAAATGTGATTGAAATGTAATTAACATTTGATGTAATTCAACAATCGATTAAATGTTATTAAACATTTTTAGATTTAATGAAAAATTAAATAAATTATTGAACTTTAGACCTGATTTTAATTAGAATGTATTGTATTTAACATAAATTGTATTTATTTGTTTTTTATTTCAAGGGCAGTATTTTTTATGCTTATAAAATTACACAATACTTTTGAAAAAAATTCTCAAAAGTGGCTATTAGAAACTTAATTTTTATTATTGCTTATTTAGAAAGTGTGATCTGGAATCAAAGCTTGGAAAATGTGAAAGAGAGCTACTAAGAAAACAGGAGGATTTACAAAAGTATGAAGATGAAATAAAACTGAGTCAATTTGAGGAACGCGATTGCACAAAGTAAAATTTTTTTTAAAGTTATATTTAATTTCATGCTTAATTCCATACTTAACTCTTTTAAAATGATTATCTAAGCAACAATCAAAATTTATGGGGTAAAGTTGCAAAATATCTTCTCAAAATGCATTGTTAATTTTGTTTTTAAATTTTAAGTAATTTATAATTAATGCTCTACCTTGTGTTTTATTTAGCTTATCACCAGAGAAAATACACCAAATGAAACGTAGAATTTTACGTATATATTAAAAATTCCCTTACATTTTGATCTGAAAAAGTTAAATGTGTTACATAGTGTGAAACCATTTAAATAAATTCTAAGTCATTCACGAAGACATTTATCCTGCATTCAAAGAAGAAACCCGGTTGCTGCTAATGTAAGGTTCCAAAGACTGTAACATTTTTCAGACTGTAAGGTTCCTAGATATGTAACTTTTATCTAGGTCTCTGACTCAAACTTTTCGTGCATGCATAAGTTTTTTATTCCCTAACGGTTTGAAATTCATCACATTTTTTTCTTTATANATATATTTATTAAAATATGTTTTAATTTGTATTTAGGAAATCCATTTTGCAAGAGTTTTTTGAAATCATCAATCCTATCTCTGAACAAATGCAGGCAGTTCATTCTCGAATGAGCAAAAGCATTGAAGTGATTGATAGTATTGATGAATATAATGACTTCATTCGCAAAAATCGGTGAGCATTCCTCATGTATATTAAGTCAAATTGTTTATTACCTCAACATTAAGAGTAAGACAATTTGTTTGTTAAACCTGAGTTTACTTAAAATCATCAAAAATAAGTGTTATAATGCTCCAAAATAATCTATAAAATGTTTAAAAATGGCTTACTTTTAATATTTCATTTACATTGAAGGGAAAAACTAAATTTTATTAGTGATTTAACTTTTTGCCTTTCAGTAATTATTCGATGTGCATTATCATGTGTACAATTTTATTATGAATGATGTGTGTTGAAAAAATCTATGCTTTTCAAAAAAGGAAGAGCAAATCAGGCACATGATTAAATAAATAACTAGGCTAGTGTGTATGTCTCTTGCAGATGTATCTTGTGCATGAGCTATAGCAGATAAAATTCATTCAATGGTTTTATAGGGACAACTTTTGTTAACCATTGCAATGAATGCTAATTTTTATTTTCTCTGTTGGTTTACCAGCTCTAGCCTCAAAATCTTGTTGGTTATGTGATTCATTGCAAAAAGATCAGGGAATTCATTTAACAATTCTATTGTACATTTTGATCTAAATCTGGGTTTTTAAGCTTTTACAAAGGTAATGAAATATCTTTGAATAGTTTTGTACCCTTGTTTTTTACTATTTCAATGTAATTATTAAGAAGTTGTTAAAAAATTCCTCTTAAAATCCAAATTTTACTTAATATTTTAAATCTGTCACAGTTTAATATGTGTCACAAATTTTTAAGGTGTTAACATTAGAGGTTTTGTTTAAATACAGTAAGCATGTTCCAGTGTTTATATTTTTTTTCTGTTTTTCTTTAACTTGAAATTGATTTTTAAAAGTGATAATAATTTAAATTTTTGACATATTTTTTAGCTCTGATCCTCTTCCATCAATAGAGTTCAGGTATGATGCTTCTCTTTTAAGAGAGATTACAGGACCATTAAGACCTAATGAATTGATTGCTGATGATTATACTATAGAGTGCCTTCGTGACAAGTAAGTTTTCTTCATCATATGTTCATTTATCTTGTTATTATTTTAAAGTTTATTATATTTTCTAAAATGAGCACTATGTTATGGCAAAAATGTGTTACATAATGCACAACATATATTTTCTGTGTAACCAATGTTCAATTTATGTTAAATTAAATATAATGTTATAATCGTAGATGTAATTGAAATGTAGTTAACATTTAATGTAATTCAACAATCAATTAAATGTTATTAAACAGTTTTTGCTTAAATTAAAAATTAAATAAATTATTGAATTTTAGGCATGTTATTAATTAGAATATATTGTATTTAACATGAGTTGTATTTATTTATTTTTTATTTCAAGGGCAGTATTTTTTATGCATATAAAATTACACAATACACTTTTGAAAAAAATTCTCAAAAGTTGCTATTACAAACTTAATTTTTATTATTGCTTATTTAGAAAGTGTGATCTGGAATCAAAGCTTGGAAAATGTGAAAGAGAGCTACTAAGAAAACAGGAAGATTTACAAAAGTATGAAGATGAAATAAAACTGAGTCAATTTGAGGAACGAGATTGCACAAAGTAGTTACTTTTTTTAAAGTTATCTGTAATTTCATGCTTAACTCCATACTTAACTCTTTTAAAATTATTATCTAAACAACAATCAGAAATTATGGGGTAAAGTTGCAAAATATCTTATCAAAATGCATTGTTAATTTTCTTTTTAGTTTTTAAGTAGTGGATAATTAATGCTCTACCTTGTGTTTTATTCAGATTATCACCAGAGAAAAGACACTAAGTGAAACATAAAATTTTATGTATATATGAAAAAATTTCCTTTACATTTTTATTTGAAAAAGTTAAATGTGTTATATAGTGTGAAACCATTTAAATAAATTCCCAAGTCATTCACAAAGACATTCAAAGAAAGGTGCTGGTTGCTGCTATTGTAAGGTTCCAAAGACTGTAACTTTTTTAAGACAGTAGGGTTCCTAGATATGTAACTTTTGTCTAGGTCTCTGGTTCAAAACCCATGTTGGAAAGAGGAGGAGGAGAAACTTTTTGTGCATACATAAGTTTTTTGCTCCCTAACAGCTTGAAAATCATCCTATTTTTTTTCCTTTATATTTTATACCAGATTTTTAATTTTTTTTAAAATACATTTTCCTATAACTATTTCTTTAAAGTTTAAAATTTTTAATTTAAAGATTGTTCTCTAAACAAGGACAGTTAAAAATAATTTCAGCTTTGTAGAAGGAAAATTCAAAACATTTATTTTTCTGTGCAAGGACAAATTTAAAAGTTTATTGCTCTGTAGAAGGTAAATTTTGATTATAAATAGATTTTCCAAATCCATTTACTAAAATAATTTTAAATAACTATTTATAAGCATCCATAAACTTAATATATAAAAAAAATATATGTATTATAGAGCTGATTACAAATTATTAAAAATAAATTTCTAAAAGTTTATTTTTATATCTCTGTACAATGCTCTTAATTATAAATAGATTTTACTAATCCATTTATACTAGATATTTGAAAATAACTATTCATAGGGTTTGATAATTATTTCTAATAATATATTTAAAAAGGATATTTGCATAATAGAGATGATTAAGGATTGATAAGAATAAATTGTAATAAATTTTATTCTATTGCTTTACTTGCAGATTTAGTAATTATTACAATTTGTTTATGTATTTTTAGACTTAGAGTTAAAAAACGTGCAGTTGACATTTTAGTGAAGGACCTCAGTCATCTGCAATGCATTGAACACATTTTAAATGTACAACTTCATCTCATCAATTTTTCACTTTCGTGTATAGAGAATGACATACCATTTCAAGGCATGGAACTAGATGAGTCAAAAGCTACCTCTAAAAATGTTCCAAGTGAACAGGTAGACTTTTTTTTTTGTAGCATTATATTGTATTTGTGATTATGTTTTATGTTTAATTTGTTTTACTCTGTTTTAAAACTAGGAATATTTTCAGTTTCGTTCATAGAAATATTTGAAGCACTTGATCCTAATAGATTAAAGGAAGCAAGTTCTAGCTATTATAATATTTTATGTAGTTCTATGTTAATCACATGCATGTGTGAATGAGTTAGACGAAATGTAATTACTACATAGTAAACTAATTTTCATTTTCATTATTTATGCTTCACAAAAAACCACCGTGTGGTAGAGAAATTTTTTGGATAAAGGTTTTGTACTCTTAAATTGTATGAACGTTTTTGTCCAAGTAGCTTGAGGACTAACAAGTTAAACAAAAGGTATTAAGTAATATGTTGTAAATAATAAAATATTAAGTCTCTAGTAAATGTTTGGTTTCAAATCTTTGAATTGTACCATTTTTTTTTTCAAAGCAGTTTTTTAAAAATATATTTATTGTGAATTATTGAAACTTAATACTTTATTATTTTTTTAATAATTAATGTCTCTTCACTTAATACATTTTTGAGTTTAATTTTTGAACAAATTTTTGAATTGAATTTAAGAAAAAATTTCATTTTTGCATGACATTTTTTGTTAGAATTAAAGAACTGGCCTTTAAATTGTTTCAACTTTTACATGCTGTATTTATTTCATTTAGAGAGTTGAGAATTCTTTGTGTTAATTGAAATTCTTTCTATGGTGGTTTGTGTTGAAAGAACATTTTGCTTGCCTGTGTTTAAATCTATCATTGGGGAAATTATTAATTGTCCTTGAGAAAATTTGCCTTAATTTATTTAAGTTCAGTCATATATTGGAAATATTTACATCATTTAACAAAACAAAAAAGAAAGAATGGAAGAAAGGAAAACATTTATTTAGTTATATTTTGAAGATTTACATTAAATCTTATTTAATTTAACTAAAATGAATTGTCCCTATTATTTTGTAAATACTACAATTTTCATTCCTCAAAAATTAACTTTTTAAAAAATTAACAGTGCATAATTTTAAAAGTATTTTAAATATCAAATGTTTTGTTCAATCAGATGGCGAAATGATTGATTGTTCAGTGATAATTGTTCAGATGGTGATTGTTCAGTTACATACGTAATTTTTTTTTTTTGCATTTATTTAATTGCCCCAAAATGGAGAAAACAGTATTAATATTTTTATCATTTTGCCATCTATTTTAAATTTTATATTTGACTTGACTTTTTGCTGTAAAATTGTATTTTCTATTAGGAAACAATTTTTTTCCCATAAAGTTGTAGAAGTTTTTTATAACTTTTTATGGTTTTTTAAGTCTGTAGACGTTTTTTATTCATTTTTTTAAAACTAATCGTTACTTAGCTTTATGTTCAATCTAATAATTCACAGAATTATTTAAAGTTTGGATTTTTTTAATGCAGTCAAATTTGATCACAGTATTGAATACTGCAAACATTAGTAGTGTTAGATGATTTTTAATATGGGGAAATATGCTATTCTTAGGGTGTGTTCTAAATTACTATGTTTTTGAAACTGTGGAGTGCGCAGTTTAAAATTTCTATAACATTATTAACTTAATTTTACATTCTATTTTCTCTTTAGAAAGAAGAATCTACTATTACATTGGGAAGGAAATCTAAATTAATAATGGATAAACTGAAACAGCCTTTCTTTACTCTTAAACAGAAGCATGTAAGTTTAAAGACCAATGTACTGTAATAAATTCTTTTTTATACATCATTTTTATTACATATTATATTTAAATATTATTTGTTTTATAATTTTTAACAGTTCACATTACTATTATGTTTCCAAAATTCAAAAATCTAATTTTGATTCGATAAACTCTTTAGAACTAGTAAATATCATTAAAAAAGACAGCTTATGATAAAAAATAGTTTCATTCTGATTTGTGATGAATTTTTATTGCTACTATTATTATCTCTTATGTATTATTTTGTTTATTTTTTCAGAAATAATCTCTATGTCCCTTCAAGAGTTATAATTATTTGATTTTTAATAATTTTGTTTTAATATACTTAATTTGTTAAGGGTAATTAATATTATTTTGCAAAATGGTTTTTGATTCTTAACACCATTTAAGGTTTAATAACATATAGGTTCAGTCTACAGGTTCATTAAGGTTCAATTAACAAACACTATTTAAAGTTCAGAGTGCATGCACAAGCAACTCTCACAAAAATTTACTCTTCTAATATGTTTTTGCTGCATGAAGATTGATGTTGTAAGAAAGTCTTTTGCAAATTTCAAAGAAGACCTCAGGGTCGACCCCCCCCCCCTAAAATGATTGGCTGTGTTATGAATGGCCCCATGCATTCTTAGGGTTAAGAGCTTTAGAGTAGTCGCCAAATGTAGAGATGCATTTAGAAAACTGCTGGAGAAGGCCAGGGCCCACTCAGAACTGTTGAGCCACAGAAGAATGTTTTTGCAGCACACTATTTCTTAAAACTTAAATTATAGTGACCACCACTAATAAAATCACTGATTTTTTTTTTATAATCAGCTACTTTTTAAAATCAAATCTTTAAAAACAGAATCATTGCATCATTAAAACATGTTAAAACCATACTTTGATAAAATCATTATTACCGTTTTATGCATTCAAGTTTTTAGAGTTATTTAAAAATGAAAAAGTTCATGTTTTTTTTTCTACTCCCATTGTGTATATATAATATTTTTCTTGAGTTTTGAAATATGTGTATATAGAAAACAAATTCCAGTTTGCAATCCGGTAACAAAAGAAACATCACTACAGGTGTGGAGGACACTTTTTGGCGAAATTGAAGAGTTGTAGTTGAAGTAAAATGAAATATGGAGTGCAAAAGAGTCCAGATGAAAACGACTAATAAATTAAGGAAAGTTATTACTTCAGCCATCATTCTTGTTGTGGCTTGATGGAATATTATTACTAGAAAACATGGAGTTTTTAATAAAGTTTTTGTTCTCTTGTTCCCCGGAGGGAAAAGTAGTGCAACTATAATTTATAAACTGAATTACTCCTGTGCAAAATAATAAAATCTTATAATGTGCTTTAAATTTTTCATTTAAGAGTTTTAACATACAAGTTTTAGCAATATTAAGTTTTTAACATACAATGTTAAAGGAATATGTGGTTCCAGTATTTTAGAATAAATATGAAAGTAGTTTTTATGCTGTAAAAAATATTGAAATTATTTTTCCACTAAAGAAAAATTTTTAATAGACAAACTTCTTATTATTTGTATTGAGCAATGTGTGAATATTTTTTCCTTCAAAAATACTATGCATACAATTCAAGATAAATTGCTTTTATTTTTATTAAAGTAAGGGATAATTAATTTTAATTTATTAAACATGTCAAGTTTATTTTAAATATATTATAAAGTTCATGCTTCATTTCTGAAATTTTTCATTTTTAGGTTACTCCATGCCCACCTTCACCACCAAATAAAGACTTTTTAGATAATGTTGTTGAAAATGAAAGAAATCCTTTTAAAAGAGTAATGAATTTGAATTGTTTGAAAAGTTTTCTTCGAAAATGTAAAGTGATTAATAAATTTAAAAATAATGTTTGTTTTTGTTTATTGTGGAAAATGTTTTGACATTGTTGTATTTTCATAGTATGATTAATATTTGATTACTATCAGTTAAAAAGTGTAAGGATTCTCTAGATTTTAAAATTAATTTGTACTTCTGATAATTAATTATTTTTATTTATTATGCAAAGTTTTTTAATTTAAAATATTTTCTGTTATTTTAATAATACATTATAAAGCATTAATAAAAGTTTAAGATTTCATAAAAATATAATTTTAACATTTGAAGAATTAATTGCATTTAATTAAAAGATTTCGAATTATTGTTATAATTTTTTTTTCTTCTTTTAAAACTTGATTTTTTTTTTAATAAAAGCTTTCCTAACAAATCCTTAACAATTTTTAAAAAATATTTTTAGGAAATAAAAGACACAAGCTATCAAACTGAGGACTGGTTTCATGGTGTTTTGCCTAGGGAAGAAGTTGTTAGACTCCTTGTTAACGATGGGGATTTCCTTGTCCGTGAAACCATTCGGAATGATTCAAAACAGCTGGTTTTATCAGTGTGTTCTCAAGGATACAAACATTTCATTGTTCACATGACTAGTGACGTATGTTTATTTAAACTTGTTAGTTTATATTTAATTTATTTTGCAGTGCAAATCCTATGCATCCTTGTATGAATTTTAAATTATTAATTATATGTTGTAAAGAATCACATCATAAAAATAAAAATAAAAAACAAATATGAAACTATTATCTTTTAGACTGCCAGAAAAAAAAATTACCTTTAGTTAGTTTATTTATTTATGTGGGGGAAAATTAGGGACATCTGAAATTTAAAAAATATAGTATATTTAAATTTAGAAAAAATAACCTTTCAGATGAATTGAGAAATCTTTATAGAATTTGTATGGAAACTAATATCCAGCTAGAGTTATCCTCATCATATATGAAAAACAATTCGTTGTTGTTTTTGTTGCAATTGTTGATAACCGGTTAGGATGTCTATGATCTAAGAAAAAATTTTATGACTAAAAAAGCCTCTAAAAATCACAGTGAAAAATTACTTGAAAATAAAAAACTGTGCTCTTAAATATTTTCAAAAACGTGTCTTATATTACCATTTTTTTTTAAATGAAAGGGAATTTTAAATCATATTTTGTATCTATAAATTTATTTTAAAATAAAGTAACAATTAAATGTGTAATTAATGAATAAAATAAAATGAAAATTAATACCTGATATAGATAAATAAAAAATTTGTTAATTTTCAGTTACAATCATAAAGAACATCAGAAATGTGTTGTATTATAAAATGTTTTTGATATTCTTATGGTTAAAAATTTTCCTATTACCCAAAATCCATTTTTTTACATTTTGAAAAACTTTGTCCAAGAACATCACTTGTTATTAAAAGATATTTAAAGTAACAGATTCAATGTGGAATTTATAATGAAAAAGAGAGCAAAATAATCTTACAATGTAAAAATATTCAAAATTCATAAAAAGTTAAGAAAACAGTCTAAAAAACAAACAAAAAAAGACTAAAAAGAAAAGAATAATGTCCTATAAGAGGAAAAAAACAAAAGTGCTTTTATCTAGCCCTGTTGATAAAGTATCAGATTTCTTTACTCATTTTAGTAATTGATGTTTCATATTTGATTTAAGCATTTATCTTCAAAAATTATTAGAATTTATGTGTTTTGAGCATTATTAATGTCCTTAAAATCAGATATCTTAAAAGGATAATTGAGCTCAAGGAATTCTAATAAAATTTGACTTTAAGATCATTTTTTGAGAAATAAGCTTTTGTAATATTTCTAACTCTAATTTGTTGTAGAATAAAACAGTAGTGTTTTTTATTTTAAAAAGCAAAATTATTTACCAATATTTAATTTTTCAAAAATATTTTTGTTGAATACTTGTTGAAAAGATATAAATAATATGTTATATAATCATTTAGTGTTTCATTTATGTGTTTAAGAGAATTCTGTTAAAATTTAGGTGTCAGTTAATGTGAATAAGAAAAATGAAAATTTCTTACTCTAACATTATGAGGAGTATTATCACCCCTAAACGTTTTAATGGACCAAAACTTGATTTTGACTATTTGATTATTGATTATAGATGCAAATTTTTGATTATAGATGCATAATGATAAACTCAGCTACATTTATCTATTAATCATAATTTGTTTTTCATTTATCAAAGAGAAATGAATGAAGGTCTTAAATTGTTAATAAAATATGCATATGTAAGTGGCTTAAGTTATTAAAAATCTATATTGAATAAATGAGCATTCTATATTAAATCTAGATTGAGTGAGAATTCAACAAATGAAAAATTGAGTTGCGGCAAAAGTTTAGTGATTGCTGTTATTCTATAGTATGGTTATAAATTTTTTTTTTTCTCTCTAAATTCCTAGAGAAAATATCGATTTGAGGGACCAAGTTTCAATACCATTCAGGAGCTTATCATGCATCAATTTCAATCTGGTCAACCTGTTACTATGAAATCTGGAGCAATACTGAGACGACCCATTCCACGTGAAAGGTGGGAGCTTAATAATGATGATGTGGATCTCATTGAAAAGATTGGATCTGTAAGACAAAGATGCATTATTTTTCTTTATTTATCTAAAGAGTTTGGGGCAATAGTAAGCCACATTTTCCCATTTTTTTTGCAGAATATGAGTTTTGGTGAAAAATACACTATTTTTATGTTAGTTATAAAAAATTCTTAAGTATTGTGTTGCTATTAAGTGGAAATTCTAGAATATTGTAAAGTATATATCTGGAAACTATATTAAAAAGTTTGATGTAAAAATGGCTCATGTATGAAAAGTGTGGCTTATTACCATATTGTCCCAAACTCTTTATATGATATTTTACATTTACTTACTTGTGTAATTAAAGAAGTTCTTATTAGTATTTTTTACTTTTGTTCATTTGTAAAATTTTAGCTATATCTAATTATTCTACTTTTTTAAAAAAAATATTATTATAATCATATTTCATTCCACTTTAACAAATTTATTTTCATTGCTTGTTATGTTAGCAAGTTTTATATTCTTTGCTTGAAGCAAAGCCACATTATTTTGTAGATTTTGTTGTTTCGTGATTTCTCTCTTTTTTTATGTAAACAAACATTTTATTTACAAATAAAATTTTATAACAATTTTTGTTTTATTTGTAATGAAAAATATTTTATTTCAATATGCTGGCTGTATTTTTTTATATAACTTATTGCTTCAGAATTTTTTTTTTTATGAGAAATGCAATCTAGAAATGAGAATGGAAATTGTGGTATAGCTTAGAGAAATTGGAAATCTTGGATATGATCTTAAATTGCCTGAGAGTTATAAATTGAATATTATTTGTGATATTTTTAATCTGTATTATTATAGTTCTTTTTTTGTATAAATTTTTCTAATATTGTTCAACTAAATAAAGAATTATGTTATTTCGAAACTATTAACTGGATAGACGAAACATTGCTGGTGGAATGAATATTTAAAAGTTAAGTTATTCAGCGTACAAATCACTAGATCCCCACTGTACTCTCATAAAACACCCCACTAATTTTCTTTTTGTGCTTTGTCAATTCAGTGTTTGGTTTATGCCAGTTAACATAGACAAGGGAACGTTTACATTTTTACAACATAGACAAGGAAACATTTATGAAAGTAAACATTTTTCGAAGTTGTTTTCATTTATTGAAATTGCGTATGTTTTACTTCAACTTCAATTTTAAACTATTGTCTCAACATGATTTATGGCATTTAAAGATTAAATTTAACTTTACAAAATAGTTTTATTTCATTTAAATGATTAAGAAGAAATTTCCTATATATTCAAGTAAATTTATTTAATATAAATTATGTAATATTTTCTAGGGTAATTTTGGAGACGTTTACAAAGCTCAGTTAGCTGATTATCCTGAGGAAGTGGCTGTCAAGACTTGTCATGTAAATCTTCCTGATGTACAAAAGAGAAAGTTTTTACAAGAGGGCCGCATATTAATGGACTATGATCATCCAAATATTGTTAAATTTATAGGAATTTGTGTTCAAAAGCTGCCATATATGATAGTAATGGAACTCGTACCAGGTATGACAATTATAAATTTGTGTGTTTTGATGATTTTATTACAAAGTTTCAAAATTTTGCTGATTATATTAAATTTTTTGTCTTTAAGAAATTTATTTTTAAATACATTAGCTTAGATATGTTTCTATGTTGTTACTCAATTAACTTTCTGAAAAAGTCAATTGTTTATTTCAGAATAATTTAGAATGCTTTGCCATTAGAGAATAAATGATTCTGAAATAAATTATTCAACTATTCATAATCTGCTACTCTTCGTATTGAGATTTTACTGTCTTGCTATCAAAGTGTTTACAGGGATGGGGAGGAATTTTCATGATAGCAAGACTGTACTTGCTGATATTCGTTTTTTCACTTATAGATCTTTGTAATGTTTCTTTTAAAGGTTTAGGTCACTCTAAATTTTCAGCGACTCTAACAGTAGAAAAAATAAGCATGTGAGAAATTTTTTTAGCAAGACAATGAAAAAATCAATGTTCTGGAATAGGTCTTAATTATACAACTAGTGAAGTGTTAATTTTGAATTTTTTTCAAAGCAATAGGAAACAAAATGGTGGTTGTATAGCTTTTCTATCATGAACCTTTTTTTTAAAAAAAAATAGTGGGCTACTGAACCAGGAGCGCCTTTAGTTTTTAAGTAAGGATAAATAAAAATTGTTTCAATTACGTAGTATGTAGGTGAAAAGCTACAGAAGATTTTAATACTTGTTGTGTTCTTATTTTTTCCAAAAAAATTTTTAAGAAAAAAACAGGTCACTTTTGTAAATTAAGTGACCAAACTTTAAATTTTAATTTTTATAAACTAAACCATATTTAAGGAGTGATCAATTAAATATCAAAAATATTAAGTCTGATTTTTTTTTTCATGTTGATCTTATTTATTTTCTTACATATTATTGTTATTATTCTGAAATTTTGATTTTTCTAATCATAGTATAATTTTTTTTTAAATACTTGTTTATTTATTTATTTTTTAAGCATGCTTTAGTTATGTTCTGTATAAAAAGCACTTAAACATCTTCAGAATTTCTTCAGGGCTGGAAATGCTAGATGATTAAAGTTCAACAGTTTATATCTAACACTTAATTTATTAAAATTTCCATTTGATTACAGTCTATAACACTATTTTTTAACTAATGGGGGTAATTTTTGTAATTCATTTGAAATATATGCCATATTTAAACTTTAGTATTTTTATTTTACAAAGATCTTCTAGTGTCTTTTTAATGATATAAAGTTATATTTATTCCCTGAACATAAAATGTTGATTAAAATAATAATGAAAAATGTTGAATAAAAAATAAAGTCAACTTCTAATGACTTTTGCAATCCGATCTACTTCAGTGATATGAAGGGGAAAAACATTTTTTCGAAGGTAACTTTTGTTCTCATTTGTCTCAATTTTTTTCTTTTTTTTTATGTTTTAATTTTATTGTCTCAGCAAATGCAACTTCTTCTATAAGACCTTTGAAAAGATAATGTATTATTTGGTAACTTTTTGTCTATTTTTACTGTGAAAATTTCCTGGTTAAGAATGCAGTCCTCTAAAAATGTTTGATGTTAAAAGGCAATGATGATAATCAGTAAAACATGAAGTTTTCATTGCTCTAAGTGATTTAAATAATTTCCTCAATAAAAGAATATTGCAAAATAAGTAACAAATACATATATATATATATATATATTTAATAAAAGTACTTAAACTGTTCTAAATTTTATTGTTTAAAGTATTGAAATTTGTAATTACTTATATTTTAATGAAGTTAGAATATTTTTTTAAAAAATTTTTTATTAATAAAATTATTTACTTTTATTTCATTTTACAATATTTTATATCTTCTAAAACAACAATGAGCACTGTTCATTGAAATTATTGGTTGTTTTTTTTGGACTTCAGTACCATTTCAAGTTACTGCATACTTAAGACCTTATATTAGTCTTATTTAATGAAATAATGTTTAGATAAAATTTTCCCCATTTAAATACTTTATATTCAAATGTTGCATCTTTTAACTTCCATTGTAGGAGTAGTTTTTTAAATGTATAAATAAAGACGAGAAAAACAAATAAAGTATTGGTAAATATAATTGTATCTTAGATATGTTTTATATTATCTCAACTGAGTAAATTAGTTAGCTTCGTAAATGATTAACTTTTCTGTTTAAAACAGGTGGCTCTTTACTAAACTACTTACAGCGACATAATGAAAGCTTATCTCAGAATCAACTACTTTCTTTTTGCATTGATGCAGCTGCAGGCATGGAGTATCTTGAAAGTAGGAGTTGCATTCATAGGTAATCTATCAAACGTTTAGTGATAACACTATTGAACTGCAAAATATTTTTTGATCAAAAAGGATATATTTTGACTTTAATTTAGAGATCTGGCTGCAAGAAACTGCTTGGTTGGGACAAATAATGTAGTGAAAATATCAGACTTTGGGATGTCACGTGAAACAATAGAGTATGTTGTGACTGATGGCATGAAACAGATACCCATTAAATGGACTGCACCAGAAGCTTTGAATTATGGTACTTTAGCTATATTCATAACTTTGTTTAGATGTTTATATTTATAGAATGACAAAGTATAAATTGTATAAAAAGTATAAATTTTTGCTGTCATCTGCATATTATAATAGAAAAACTTAGTGGAAGACTGTTCTATTCATCATTTTTGAAAAATTTAAGATTTCTAGGAAAAAGATTTTATTTTAGTCTTATTTAATGATATATCATTAATTTATGTTCTGGGTCTTTACATTTAGCAGATTTCGGTTGATGAAAGTACTAAGTGATAGTCTTTGAGTTTTTTAGAGTGGAAGACTGTTTCAAGCGCATTTAGCAACTGACAGTGTACGAGTAACCTTAGAAAGTGTCACATTTAAAATTACTCATCAATATGTTTTTTGAGATTATTATTATTCATTTTTTTTTTGCCGTAGCTATAGCAAAAATTATTTTTATAAATCTCTTAGATTTAACTTTAAATCTTGAAGTTTGTAATTGACCTTAACAAATATTTGATGAATATGTTATTAAATATAATTTGTATTTCAAGTTATTCACATTAAGAGGGTCAATCCATATTTTTGTAAAGAACTATTTTCACGCAGTGTGCTTATTTAACCAAAAAATTTCATTAAAAAGTATCAAGCATTATCTTATCAGCATTAACTATGTCTGTATATGCGACCAAAATTATATTCATTGAAATGATTTTCAATTTGTTTTAGGTGATATAAATAAATAAAAAACTGAAGATTTAAATTGCATTATGCATAAAACAATATTTGAGTATGGATAAAAATTTCATTTTGATGTCTCAAATCAATTTTTATTGAGCTTGTTAATTTTTTTAAATATGCCATGTAATATAAGTAATACTCTTTTTGTTTCATATGTAAAACCTTTCTGACATAGCCCATCATCAATTTTAAACTAAACATCAATTTCATTAATAATCATAAGAAACACAATCTTTTGGCTTTGTTTGATTTTAAAGATACTTATTATTGTCTTATTATAATTTTTTATTTTCTGATAAATAACAACATAAAATTAAGAGTCAAACTATTTTAATTGATATTTCACAAAAACTCATTACATTTGTTTTTAAGACATAATTTAGCAACTTATATTTATTTTAGGTTTATTTCAAGTAATTACTTAATCCATCTAATACTTAAATCATAAAATATTTTCCATATTTAGAAGAAAATTTTCTGGAAATTTTTATTTCTTGTGTGGAAATCCAGTAAATTTCTAAAAAATTATTTCACAAGCTTAGTTTGAAAAAATTATGGTCATCTTGGGTAGTAAATTATGTACCAAAAGAAAACACTTTCGCATAATTATTTCAATATACCAACTGAAGGGATTAAAATTGTTAATTTTTATGTCCTGATTTTGTGCCAGATTTATGTGTTACATCTTTTTCTAAGAGTTTTAATCTTTCAAATAGGCATTTATACAACTATGTGTGATGTTTGGAGTTATGGCATTCTGATGTGGGAAATCTTTTCTTTGGGAAGTGTTCCTTATCTTGGCCTTTCCAATAACAAAGCTGCAGAATTAGTGGAAAATGGTACTTTTCATTAGTAATTTAATTTCTTAATTATTATTGTGTTGGTTAATTTTAATATGATTTCTTTAGTTTAATTTTAACATAAAAAATCAGTTTCATAAAAGGTTTTCATATAGCTTAAATCAAATTTTCAAATAAACTATAAGGTTTAATTTAAAAAATGGTTGCTTACTTAAGGTTAACAAAATATTAAAATTTTAGTTTTCACTCTGTTTAACAAAATGACACATCTGTCTGTTTAAGAAATAGATATTATCATTTACATTCTTAGCATGGCCTTGTATTCAAAATATTCTGTTTCACCCAAAAATTGGTTGAAAGTATAATTCTCCTACTACTTACTGAGGAAATTTATTTTTTAGATTTCAATCATTTTTTTTCCTTTGGGAACAATCTATATCCTCCAAAAATAGTTAATTGCTTTTATGTTTGCATTTCAATGCTAAGCTTTATTTTTACCTTCCTTGTACTCTTGCTTGCTTGTTTAATAAAATAATTACATTTTGAAATTTATTTCATTACCTTAAAAGTGTGTTGTAAATTTTTCTTTTATCTTGTATTTTTCAAAACTTATTTCAAATTACTACGAGAAAATAATTTATCCATTAATTCTAAATCTCTGAATAGCTAATAAAAATATGTATTAAACTCATAAAAATGGATTTATTTCATTAACATGAAATTAACATATGATAACTAAATTATTCTTATTTTTTAAAAAAAAGAAGAAAAAGTGTTATGAATTAATTTACTCACCTTCTATAAATCTTTTAGTAAATAATAAAATTATCAAAACATTTTTATTTTAAATTTTATTTAAAATAAAAGTGTTTTTAAATGTAATAAAGCATCAAAATTATCAAATTGTTAAAAAGAAATTTATTTTACTTTTTTTGCACTCGTGCTTGCTTGTTTAATGAAATAATTACATTTTGAAATTTTTATTATTGACTTAAAAGTGTGTAGTGAATTTTTCTTTTACCTCGTGTAGTAAATGGTGACTGATGCACATTAAATCTGTCGAGTCACAATGTCCTCCATGTTTCTATAACAAATCATACCTCTGAGGATAATTTTCTAGGTTTTCCTCTCGGTGTTACTCATATGCCGGTTAGTTCCATCAAAAAGTCCTCCACGTAGGCATGTTTCTCCCAATATTTGATCCAGAAGTTTCCTCGTCTTCTGGATTGATTCAAAATTACTAGGCTACGGAGTTCAACATTAGTAGTCGTAAACCTAAAATTGGGTCAGCTGTTCAACAACGGTTATGATATAAAATGTAAAAATAAAGTTAAAATTTTTAACTATTTCTTAAGTTTAAAAACTTTAACAATAAATGGATAATTATTCTTAACATTTTCTAAAATGTTTGTTTTATAATTTAACCTATATTTTATTATTTCTACGTCCTGGTACTGTACGTTATTCTATTCATGCGTCCTAAGCAAAAATATATTATCTCTGAATTTTTCCATTTTTCATTTTCTTTTTTATTATACTTATTTTATGTTACTATTACACGGTTAAACAATTCAAGGAGCTATTAATATTTTCATGGTGGCTGAGCTTTGTTTACCAAAATTTGTAAGATCTCAAAATTACCATGTGTGGATACATAGCCTAACCTCTTTTCTTAGGACTGTATTATTTCTCTGCTATATTCATAATTGTGTAAAGTAGTTTATATTTATTTATTTATTATAGGTTATCGTTTGCATGCTCCTGACAACACCCCACCTACAGTATATGAGCTTATGTGCAAATGTTGGGAATACGAACCTCAAAAACGACCTCATTTTTTAGAAATACACTCTTCTCTTCGGGCATTTGCCAATGCTGTTGCATTAATGGAGGACTCTTCAGATTCATAAGTATATACTTAAACAGTACAAAACATCTTCGCTTCAGCTGCTGACGAATTGGGTTTGGAAAAATATAATCTATATACAATTTAACTTACAAATAAATTACTGTATTGCATGTAATTTTTATTAACACATGTGTCTTGATGGTGCCTTTGACTGTGATAAGTATAAATAATACTCGCATTTTGTAATTCGAAGTTGCCAAAGAAGAAATATTTTGCATGTGCATCAAGCATTAATTTTTAAAATTGTAGAGTTATATAAAAAATTTTAGTGGCAGTATGATTTTACATAAGAATTAATAGATTTATTAAATTTGATTTGATATAATTTGCAGGCTTGGTCGTTTGATTGTTTTTGTGAGTTTAAAATTTGAAAGCTGCTCATAATATGTTTAGATAAAGACTCACTTTTTTGTTGTGCGGATGCGTGTTTGGTTGGATAGATATATTTTTAATGTTTATAATTAGTGATACTTTTGTTTCAATAGAGTGAAATTTTTATCATAATATTTACTATACATTCCATGATTTAATTAATTGATTTTAGAAATTTAATTTATTTTAATCATAATTTCATCCCAAGTGATTTTTACATTTTTCATTGCTTATATGTTTTTATTTTTTAATGCTAGAACCATAATGTTCTTGATTTTGGAACAATGGCATGACGATATTGTATAAGCTAGTGTGCACCTAGTTCTTTGAGGTTAGATTTTTAAATTGTGCTTTTTTAGATAAATATAGAATTTCAGCTTTCTATTTCTATAAATTTTTCTATCAATGCTCTATTTAAAATATTGCATTATATCCTAATCTGTTTGTTTGTAGCAACTCTATTAAAATATAAAAAAGAAAACAAAGTTCGTGCAGAATCGGGTGGTGATAAAATTTGTTTTGATGAAAATGATACATTATTTTTTTTTTTTATTTCAATCAAAATGTAAAGTTAATCTAAATGAAATGCTTTCTAAAAAGATTTAAGTTGTTATTTTTTATTTTAGAAATTAAAATAAAAAATTTGGCGATTTCTTAATGCTAATTTTTGATGACTTTGAAAAATATTGCTTTTTGTGTCCGACAATTTTCTGTGGGTTTTCACGCCAAGTCTGTCTAATAATTCTCTCTTGCTATCCTAAGCCTCTGGGATGGTCTTAATTTCAGCAAAGGTGATCAACATTTAAATAGACCTTTGTCTGTAAACAACTGATTATTTAGTGCTTATTCGGTTAAATTTAAAATTGATGATGTAGTTACATTAAAATAGTTCCTCAAATAAGTGAGTTAATCCCGAGACAAAATATTTTTAATAAAATAAAAGTAATAGAAAAGAGTTATGAATGTTTTTTCCCCTTAACTCTAATTTATATTCTACCAAAATAAACATTTTTTTTGATATTTTTATAATAATTATTTACAAATAAAAATATTTAATTCAATCAAGATGAATAAATTGCATTTTTCAATTAAAACTAATTTTGACTTTGTTATGTATCTTTTAAAATATCATAGCTAATATTTTAAACTAAAAAAATAATCAAAATCATAGCCTTTTCTATTTTGTCAGATTTTATGAAACTAATCTATATATTTTTGCATTTTAATAATGTAACTTAACTTTTCAAAATGTTATTAAAAAATAAGTGGAAGAGCTTATTTTAAAAAAGAAATAAAAGAATGTAAGAGAACTTATTGAATGAAAATAAATAATCACATAAAATTTTTGTTTCAAGCTACGAAAAAAATTTTCAGAGTTAGCTATTGATACTTCTAATTTTTTTAATTTTAAATGTTTTTTTTTTTACCAAAGGTGTCTTTAACATAATTTTTATTCTTTCTTTGTTATTTGCGGTAAGAAAATATTATTTCTCTATCTAAATTGTCATTTCCTGTACCTGTTATAATTATTTGTAATTTTTTTCCCTGTATATTTTTATTTACACATTCCAATTTTTCTTATTCTCTACTAAAGATAGCAATAATTTTTTTTTCTGTAATTGTTGCTATTAATTGATTTTTCAACAAATTTTAGATATTTTAAAATTTAATCATTAATCAAGCACGATCTGTGTTTATTTTTAAATAATTTTTGATTGATATGCATTGTTGTTATGAATACATGCCTGTAAAATAATTATTTTCAATATGTGAAAGAAAAATAATCTGATAATCAAAAATTCACAAAATCTGAACATGAAAATCTTCTTTTCCTGATTTTTATTTTTATTTATTATCCTTCACTTCTTCAACCTACCTCACCCAAAGTGCACTGTCAACACTTATTAGTTGCTGCCAATATAAATACATAAAACATTTTATGAATTAATATTTTTAAAAAAAGAATTTTGAACTTATAATAAGAGGCTTACTGTTTCAGATAACCATACTTATATTGACACATAATTTTGTGGCCATTTGAAATTATTAATCTCAAGGTTATTACAAAGCTATTACAAGGTATTAATCTCAAGGTTAAAAGTTTTAGTTAGGTTTTATTTTTTATTCTAGTTGCATATATATTTAGGTAGAGAGGTGAGGAATGGGACACCTGTAATTATGCTTAAAATAAATATAGTTTTTATTTTTCAGTTCTTTACTAACCATGATATCATTTTTTTTTAAATTTATTTAATTTTTATAGGCTTTCAATGTAGTTACAGGGTTTCAAAAATTTATTCCGAAAACACTATTTTACTACACCAAAAGTTAACTATTGTATATGAATAATTCAATGTAATTAGAGAACAAGTGGTAGACAAAAATTCGCAAAATTTGTTTTTGGTTAAGTAAACAATAACTTTCCTCAGTGACAAAACACAAAATGATAGAATGAAAACAGGAGACAAGCATGTGGTTTGTCTCTTCTTTTTTTTTCCCTTTCTTTCTTCCAAAAAAGAGAAAGGTTTGACCAATGGTGGGAAGGGAATAAGCTTGAACAAAATAATCTAATAAAGTGAGAGAAACATGAAGCTAGTGTATATGAGATATAGTATGAAAACCTCATATGTGAATGGTGTAGAAGTTAAATTTAAATAAATTTCCCAAGATTAAATAAGAATTATATTTAAATATTTTGGGATTCATTTCATCTATGAAATGATTCCCAGTGATCAAGATCAATTCCTGTAGATCAGTGTTGATTTACTTTAGAAGAATAAAACTCAAACCTATGATTGGACCATCTATATAGGGCAATGGAAGATAGTTAAATATCCTGATTTTGAACACATCTTTCATGTTCTATGTTTAGTTTTTCCAATTTATGCAAGACTGCGCCGAATCAGCTACTCTTAATTTCAATTTTATTCCCATTCAGTACCGTTAAATTAATTACTTTTATTTTATTGTAGATTGATTATGATGAATTAGGGATTAAATTTAATCTAAAAATCTTTTCTTTTAACTTAGTAAAATGTTAGCAAAGAGGGCATGCCGTTAAATGTTTATCTGTTTTCTGAAGATTGAGTTTTTTTTAACTATTTACTTAATAACTGAATACAGTGATTAACACACATTATATTCAGTTAGTTCAATAATTTAATGTTATGTGAATCTGCAGTTATGGAACTAATTACACACAACTGTATTTATTAATTTATTTTCACTGACTGCCTTTACTTTTTCAGAATACTTTTAAAAATTACGTACACCCTTTAATTTTTAAAGTGATCCCATTCCTATTTACTCACCTCTCACTCACACTCTATATATATATTACATGCATATAGTTTTTATGATGAAAAAATACCATCGCCTTTTCCCTTTTACCTTTTTTATGTACCTCCTCTCTTTTTTTTTTATTCACTATCGTTTAAAAGTACTTCCACCATACCTTATGAGGAAGAGGCTTCTACCTAGTCTTTTGGATGAATTAGTTTTTGTCTTTTGCGTGTTGTAAATATTTTAGCTATTTATCGCTTTTATAGTTAAATTATATGAAAGAATATTCTTGTCTTCTATTTATTTAATATAATTTTGGTATTTATTTATCTGTTAGTTAAAATTCAGATTAGAATTCGTGTTTAAATAATATTACTCAACATGTTACATTCCATTATTAAGTGTTTTTTGTTACTATTAGTCGTGAAATAATTTTTTTATCTTCTGACTTCAAAGACTATTTGTTGAAATTTATAATGAGTAGAGTCCTATCTTTGAAATTTAATTAACTTTTTGATATTGTACTTCTTGTCAAAGGACCAAAGATAATGAATTTTCTAGTTCATATATAATGTTATTTAGAATGAGTTTTAATGTTATATAGTTTGTTATTTTTATCAATAAAATTTCTCTGTAGCTTTTTGTGGCATTGGTTCTAGTCAAAAATGCTTTCATGATATTATCAATGTTGTCTTGATATAATTATATATGATACATTAGTTTATGTATCAGATAGTTATTTCTCTGATTTAGAGTAAATTTGTATTAGATTTGTTGACGTATTAGAGAGCTTTTAGTATTAATTGAAAGATTTCAATTTTGTGCTTGTAAGTGTTTATGCAATTTTTTATCAAATTTATATTGTACCAGTATTGATTTTGTTAAATATAAATATCAAAGTTTAAGTATTAATGTTGATAAACACGAAATCTTGATAAAGAGTATTTTATTACATAACATTCCTACACTGTCTGAATCTATGTATTATTTTTCCTTCTTTATTCTAAACTCTTTATAACTTTTCTACTTTTCTTATCTTTTTAAAATATGGAGACTATATTTCTTTTAGTTTTGAGAATTATTCTCAATTTTATTCATTATAATTGGTTTTAATTTTTTTTTTAAATGTTCATTTTTAAATATAATGGCATTTTAAAATTCTTTAAAAACAACACATAAAATCGTAAATGATAAAATTTTATTAAAACCTATGCATGTTTTAGTGTCACAATGTTGCATGTGCCTTCATCAGTAGGATAAAAGACAGAATTCCTGACTTCTGATGGGGGTATGTATTGGGGAGGAATATTAGGATCATCTTCTGATAAAATGATACAGATGGAGGTTTACCATTGTAACACCAAAACCTGCATAAATTCTAATAAAATTTTATCATATATGATTTTTAATGTTGTTTTTAAGAAATTTTTAAATGTTATTATAATTGAAGGTGAACATTTAAATAAAAAAGCTTTACAACATATTTTAACCTGATTATATATTGTAAATCTGATTATTATTTCACAAAAAATTACTTTTGTAATTGTATAGTAGCATTTTGTTTAAACTGTTTTCAATAAATCAATTGTATTCTATTTTAATTTTAGAAATTTAAACAGGCACTTTTGATTATTGCAGATTCATTGACTGTTATATATTTTTTATTTACTTTACTTATGAAAATAATACAACTTTAGATTTTCTCTTTCATTTGTTAAAGTTTACTAAAGAGTATTTGCTTTGAAGTATTAGATTAGATCATATTGTTACTTCAATTAACCCTCTGAGGGTTAAACTGAACCCTTAAAGGTTTACCTGATTGTTTTTTAGTTAGAAAAACTGCTTTTTTTCTCACATTTATAAGAAAGGAAGTAACTTGTTAAACTGGAAATTCTGTACTCTTTTTTTCTTGAATTTTATAACAAATATACAAAATAACTATTCAAACAGTTGCTAGCTACAAATGTTTCATCATATAATAAAGCTTTTCATTACATTAAGCAAGAATCTCACTTAGGAAAATATTTGCTTGCAAAATAATGTCTGCAAATCTCTTTTTCCCCTCTCATCATTGAAATTACACTTCCATTGAAATTGCAGTTACATTCTTAAAGCTGAAAAATAAACCTAAACTGTATTAGTTGTTGGATTTCAAAATGTAATGCATTGGAAATAATTTTTTTTAGTTTCTAATTTTTTATTTACATCAAAATATTCTGAAATCTTATTTTTGAGTAGTTTTATTAGAATGCTAACAACTTAAATGAATAAGAGAAAAATTATGAAATAAACCATGAATATCAATTTTTATGCATTTATATGCATATTCATTTAAGTATTAATGTATACATTCAGACACATTTTTTTATTAAATATTAAATTAATTTTTTTAATTAAAAGTAAAAAAGTAGAGATAAATAATGACTTCTTTACTGTTTTATATTTTGAAACTAATACCCTTTTAGGATACATATGATCAGCCTCAGCTCATAGAATGACTTTTATGATAATTCTGCATGAATTTATGTTAATTTTTAACATATGTTTTACTTTTATTTATCATTTATTTTGTTCATTTTATACACGTAAAGTGCATTTATTTTTTTTTATTAGTTAAAGACAAACAGTATGTAAATTTTACTCTTAATTATTATGTAACCAAATTAACTTTACAGCTTTTACCACTTAATATTAAAAAAATTTAACTTTCTTTCAATTTTCATCTTATTGTATAAACTTTACGGTCTTCCATCATGTCTGTATATTTTTACTTGCTATGTAATTCTCTATGTGTGTTGTGCGAGACTTTAAAACTTTGGTGTTTTTACATTTGTTTCTCTGTTTATAGCCTTTTATATTTGTTTTATTGTACATGTGATAGTTTTATTCCTTATACAAGTGTGTTGTATTAAAAGTTTAGAATTTACAGCTAAGTGTTTTATTTAGCTGAAGATACAGTATTAAAATTTGTTTTTACAGTATATGTATTTTATTAGAATGTTAAACAAAAACTTGTTTATTTAACAGTTAGACATTATATTAAAGCAAAAATTACAACATTTTGATGAAATTGTTTTTTTTTAATTAGCATAAAATGATTTTGAAGTTGTTATTACTTTTTCTATTTACAATCCTTTTTAATACCAATTGTTGCTGTAATAGCCTATCTAAATAAAATAATTTGTCAAATTAAGTTTTAATTCTTGTCTTTGTTCCTATAATGCATATAACATAAGCACATATTGAATGAGAAGAAACAGTACTACATTTCCAAGTTCTTTGCAAAACTTTATTTATTTATTTTTTATTGTAAACATCAATTGTTCTTAATATATAATTTTCTCTATAAAAGGCATATCAATATGTTATTAATAACAACTTAAGGAGGAGAAGGAGACATAGTTTTCTTTTATATCATATTTTAATGTATTTCTGATATATTACATGTCAAAACAAAGTTAAATATTGTGAATTTAAATTTTTTTTTTGCGTAAAACTTAAGTATCTTAACATAAAAAATATTGATTGATGGCTATAATGAATTACAAAATGTTTTATAAAAATTAACTAATTGCAATATAGGCTTAGTTTGTTAGTGATACTTGCCAGATATTTATTTTAAATAATTTATAAAATATCATTTATGTCATTAGAAAACTGGACATTATTTGCATTTCAACATTTTAAAATTTGTTTTAAGATACTTTTAACTTAATTGTTTAAAAAAAGCCCTTAGCACTTTTCCTATGTTGTCCACTCTGTAAGGAGTTTAAAATAACTTTTATACTGGTTCCCCAATTGAGTGATATTCTGATACCTAACATAATAATATTAAAAACTTTCTATTTTTTTTAATCTAGTCAACTTAAGGGGTTACAATA